AACCTGGTCACCTACCTTCCAAGGTTGGAACCGAGCGGTTCCGATTCGGATGGCAGAGTCGGCAATGTATCGGAGTCAGCTTTTAACTTTGGTTTTCAACCTTTTCCGGAAATTCAAAAGAGGAACCAGGTCACGATCTATAGAGTTTTTGATACCCTCTACCCCAGGATCTGATTCATTGAACGGAATATGCCGGGCAGAAATAGAATTTCCAAAGGGAAGATCCGGTAACGACAAAATAGAATAAAATCAAGTCCAGCATTGACCTTTGCCATGTTCATGATTGGCGTCCCACAAGATCCGCTCTCGGCCTAAGAGAAGTTCTCCATTTCTTCATATTTCTCTGCATTGGACTTGAAATCCCAGTTGGGAAGGGTTGGGAGTATGCCGTCATTGTATTTGAACATTTTGCATGTTTTGAATGGAATGGACAGTAAAAATAAAAAGTAAAGAATGGGAGTACGGAGTACTCTGTACATAATAAATGTACCCAGTACTTCAAGAATGTTACTTGCGTTCTTCCGGAAATCGGCACTTTTTTGGTCCACGTGAGAGTGAAATCGGCAGGCCGGATGAAACACGGTGCGGGATATAAATGCATTTTTGGCCTCAGGGGTGCTCCATGATCCCGGGTTCATTGTCATTATTCCGTTAGATGTTGGATGTGGATTGTGGGTAGTACAATCCAATCTGTAGAGTTATTTCCGAGTATATTTTGCCATGTAAAACTATAAATGCAATCCAGAGCGCAGAGTACAGAGTACTGTAAAACACATATTGTCTAATGTACGGAGTACGTACAAAGTACAATCATTTAATTGTCTCACAATATTGGAAGAAAAACGGCGTTCCACTATACAAGGCCTGGACTCGAAGATTAATAATACCATAAACACAGCTGCGTCAAAATGGAGCCCTTAGGACCGTGCTATTACGTAGGTATAGCTGGGTTATGGATTACATGTAAGGAATCAATGATTGAAATTCTATGGATTCAGGCATAGATTGATACGTCGACCCTAGATTGATCTATCTTGTATGGAGTATATATCTATGTATATATAGTATTGGATATAGTCCAGAATATGGATGTCCAACATATATCGACATTCAAAAAATGCTGAAACCAAGAGGATTGATCGTATTACTCATCGGTCCAGACGTTCAGACATCTCAAAAGGGCTAAAATCCCTCCACATGGGCTCCGCTTGTCGGAGACTGGAGAACTTACTCCAGTCTCTCTCCAGTCTTGGCTGAAAAGACTGGGTCGGGGGAATGTGCGAAAATCCTGAAAAACTCTCCCCTTTTTTTCCCACGTTAACCCGCAGTTTAGGATCTTCACGGCTTTTTTTATTTTTATTTATTTTTGTTGGTCGGTGTTTCTCGGAGGATGCGAGGCCCACTTTGCAAGGGCAAAAAAAAAGAATAACAGGGAAATAGATGAAGACATTTCATATGAATTGTAACAGAAAATCTAACATTTATACGACATGAGCATGAGTAAATAGCCGACTTAGGCAATACAGTATAAGATATAGCCGACTTAGGTAGAAGTAGTTGTACAACATATAGGAGTAGAGAAAAAGGTGTTTGAAGAGAATGATATCATAGACCGATAGACTTTCACATGGAGTCCTAAGAGTCCTAAGACACGTAACGTGACCGGGCCGAGGGACGGTACAGATCAAACAAGGGCCAACCAAAGGCCAAACAAAGGCCGCGATGGCGTCCAGCGTTCCCCAGTTTCACGGTCTTAGCCCTGGGTTAGTGGCATATTACCTAACTAGGTAATTCTTGTAATGCTTGTAATACATGGGGGAAACGGTAATTTATTTCCCAGCGGATCTATTCCCCTCAAACCTTGGCTGTTTGTGGGCTCAACCATGGTAAGAGAAACTGTGGGAACCTGGGGCATACTTAAACCTTGGATTAAATAATTTTTTAAAAAAAAAGGATCCCTCTCTCTCTATTTCTGCTTTTGAGTTCCTTTTTCCTTCTCTCTCTTTCCCATTTCACATGTGAACACATCGTGACATTCCCTATTCGGCTCTTTATCACATGCTCAGTGTCTCTATATAACTCGAATGTCCCCCATTCGCCCCCGGACGCAATAACACAACATGACTGATACAGAATCTGGGAAACGAAAGGCCTCCACGGCTGGACTCTCCGGTCATAATCGTCCCGTGAAGAGACGCGCCTCAAAAGCCTGCTGCTGTTGCCGTGCCCGTAAAGTGCGCTGTGATGTGGTCGAGAATGGCTCTCCATGCACGAATTGCCGTTTAGACCAGGTTGAGTGCGTGGTCACGGAGAGTAAACGCAGAAAGTTGGTGCAATTGAAAATGAGTTGACCTATATAGCTCACTAACATGTGATCCAGGAAATCTCGCGTTGAGATAGAGAACCACTCCGAATCTCCGGAAGCCTCAGAGGAGAATCCTTTCCATCGACTCAGTGATCTTTCAGGGTTGGCCGATTTGGTGCCAACGTCTCCCTCACAGGCCTCGGTGGATTTTGATCAGGGTCAACATATGCCTCATCTGTTATGTTCGTCAATTCCCTCAGAACTCCCAGGCATTTTATTTGGCTGACAAGCGAGCAAAAAAAACAGATCAAAACCAGGCTCAACGCATCGGCTCCGATGACCACTATCGACGCCGCATGGCCCCGAACCCAGCAGTTCCTGCTTCTATGCCATTAGCCAATGTGACCTCGCAAATCCAACAACTATTAGACCCCAATTTTGGCAATACACGATCTGCCAGTGGGTTCCTCCCGGATTACATCCGAGGACTCCCCGCACGACTCCAAAAAGAGGATATTGACTACTTGGCCGTCAAGGGTGCCTTGACCATCCCCGACGTGACACTACGGAACGAACTGTTGAAGAGCTACATCCACTATGTTCACACCTATATGCCATTGCTCGATCTAGAGGAATTCTTGCAGAACATCGTCCAGAACGATGGAATCCACCGAATTAGTCTGCTACTCTTTCAGGCCGTCATGTTCGCCGGTGTGGCCTTCATTGATATGAAGCATCTGCAGGCCGCCGGCTACCAGACCCGCAAGGTCGCCCGGAAGGTCTTCTTCCAGCGTGCCCGTCTTCTGTACGATTTCGACTACGAGGTGGACCGCATCTCGCTCGTGCAGTCGCTTCTGCTGATGACCTACTGGTACGAGACTCCCGATGACCAAAAGGACACCTGGCATTGGATGGGTGTCAGTCTGTCTTTGGCCCACACGATCGGCCTGCATCGGGATCCCGGAAACTCGCGGATGGATGTGCGTCGTCAACGGATGTGGAAGCGGATCTGGTGGAGCACCTACACCCGTGACCGACTGATCGCCCTGGGCATGCGACGGCCCATGCGTGTCAAGGATGACGACTGTGATGTGCCCATGCTGAGTCTCGATGACTTTGAATTCCACCCTTTCTCTCCCGAGATCGTGGCTATCGTTGGCAACTCGGAGATTCTCCAGAATGTCAGTCACCAGCGCGAGCTCGCGTTGATGTTCATCGAGAAAGCGAAACTCTGTCTCTGCGTCAGCCATGTATTGTCTGCCCAGTACTCGGTCCTCAGCCATAAGTTTGGCGGCACTATGGAGACCACAATGATGCTTGTCCCGAAGAAATCCACTGCAGAGACCTTCGAGGTACGAAGTTGTGACCAGGAATTGGAGGACTGGCTGGTCAACCTCCCTGTCGAAACCCAATATGCAGCGTCTAGTGGATCGAAGCTATCCGAAGCAGAGGAAGTGCTTCACTCCCACCGTGCCTTATTGAAGATGGTATATCTCACCACATCCAGTGCTCTGCACCGCCCACAAGTCCTCCCCGCCATTCCCTACCCATCCACCGACGCCGAACTCCAAGACATGTCCCGAAACAAGGTGCGATTCGCCGCAGTTGAGATCACCGCCATCGCCCAAGACCTGCATTGCCTCGACCTGACACGGTACTACCCCACTACCGGCGTCACAGTCCTCCTACCAGCAGTCATTATCCATCTCCTCGACATCAAGTCCACTGACCCAAGCATCCGCATGACGAGCCTCCAACGATTCTATCAATGCATGCGAATCCTCCAGCGCCTGCGCGAGATTTACGCTTCCGCAGACTTCGCCACCTCCTTCCTCGAAGCCGCAATCCGCAAAGCAGGCATCCAGCTCACCGTCTCCCCCCAGGACGTTCAGTCTTCTTCTGCCTCATCACATCCCCGCGACCAACCTACCACATCCTCAGACCCCTTCGACTCCACCGCCGCCGCCACCATCCCTTCCCGCCTGCACACCCTGACACCCCCGCCGGATTCACTCGCTCAGAAGATCCCGGACCTTACATACCCCAAACTCACCGGTCCTTCCGCGGGCGGACGATCCACCGGAGACCTTTTTGCTTCAACACCACCACACTCCGATGGAAGCGAAAACGGCAGCACAAATAACCTCAATTTAAATGCCAACCGCAACAAGGATCGCGATGCCTTTGCTATGCCCTCTGAAATGAGTCTCACCGAACTCATGGATCTAGCGAACGATGCTGAGGTTACCCAGAATGACTTTGATGCCCTCATTAACTTTGATGATCCGGGCAATACCGATTTCTTTGTTGATGACAATGCCCAACAAAACGGTGCAAACGGTGCCCCGGCTCAGGAGAAGGGGTTTGATTTTGATGTTGATAACGTGAACATGATGGGCTTTGATACTGATCCTAAGACTGTTGATTTCGCCCATCTGGCGGACAGCAGCCTTTCAGACTGAATACCATATTCGAGAGGCAACTCGGGCTTGGACACAGTCAGTCTCCGAACTGTAAATACGACGAATGGCTTCTCGTGTGCCCCGGGTATATTTTTCACCTACTGGAAGGTTGCACAGGTGAATGGCCCCCCGGCATTAAAATTTATGCTGCATCATGTATAGTTTCTTTTTGATTTTGATTTTGATTTTTTTTTTTCATACACAGTATATATTTATATTTATAATGATGATGATTATGACTGCGGATCATTTGTTTGCCCTTGAGTCTCCATAAAAATAGGATCCCAGAAATGGGTGGGTAGAGAGATATCTAGGAACTCTCCAAACAGTGTGTCAATGTCTGCAAACCCCTCTTGCATAGATGTATCCAGATCGCCCAGTGGAGCTTGAAGGACGTCCATTGCGATTTCCGGCGCCGGAGATACAGCTGCTATCTCATGGCTGTTATTGCACTGCCTTTTGGCTCGGGGGGAATCATTGCCTTGGGGAGCAGTAACGATCTTCTCTAGCCCCCCTGATACCGAGCTGTCGGTGTCGATTTGTTTGTGCGAGGACTCTGCTACATGCTGTGGAACCATAGCGTTTGTCCGAGAGGATTGGGGCTTCCCTTGAATCTGGTGCAGGGCTTTTTGGCCCAGCCGGGCCATCGCCTCGGCGGAATACCAGTAGAGACTAAGATTTTCTAAAATAGAACGACACGCCTCCAGACTAGCTTTCGCTCGGTCGACGTGCGTGATAAGTCTGCTCGAGCGGAGTTGGCGGTACGAGACACCCATCGACAAGGTGACAGAGTATGGTACGATTGGGAGAGGTGGTAGGTCATCTACACACTCCGATGCGACGATGGAGTGGATTCGAACAGCTGCTAGTCCTTGCCTGACCGACGAGAGCCTGGTGCTATCAATATTCTCAGTGGGTTTATACCGACAGGACAGTATAGCAACAGAATGGTAATAAAGCTCCAAGAATCCTGCTCGCGGTTAGTTCGAAGCCCCGATGACACAGCAGAGATCTCCATAATAGACATACCTAGGGTAGCAAAATCCAGATCACCTCGGGTGTTCTCCCCCACAATATCCTCAAATGCAGGGAACCCCTCCTCCCACCCGCTAGTGGTTTCTGCGGAAGGTCGGTAGAACGATATCACAGTTGCGAGCAGATCTGACACAGCAAGCCACACCTCAAAAGCCCCTCGCGACGTCTGAGCGCTCACATTGGGTTTCACGATCCCGATATCGCGGTCAGCTAGAAGAACCGGCCGCCCACCAATACTTGCATGCATCTTGTCCAATGTCCATAGACACCAGAAGAGTTTAGTCAGGGAATCTGTGGATGATTGATTCGGTCGGCCAAGATGCAATCCTATTGTCTGGGCCTGGTGGATAGCTTGACAGAGGTGTAGAGATGCCGCCTCAGCCCCTTCAAGGCCCTCACAGTGCAAGGACATTAGTGCAAGAATGCGGATGCGTGTCAACCGATCCGGTTCTAGCTCTGCGTCCATAGCGACAACCAGTCCCTTGTAAATCTCGGAACAGAATTGGCGTGACGGTAGGATTGGGCCGTTTGATACAAGGCGTAAGTGGGGATTGGCCGCGCGGGTCTTTGCAGCGGCGAGACATATGGCTTTTTCAAGAAACACCGACGCCAAACCTTCTGCTTGAGCTTGGGAAAATTCCTGGTCGACTATTGGCACAATGTGATTCACCTTGGAGAAGTAGATAGCGGACAAATGGTGCCGCGTCGCGAGGGGTAGTTGTTCGCATGCTTGCATCCCCGCGGCAAACCGTTGTTGAAGTAACGATGCAATAGCTTGGCCATAAATTGGCCTTTGTGCAGGGGTATTAGCTGCATATTTGTTCGCTTCTTCGGCTGTGGCTTGTTCTCTCTGTACGCCCCGAGGTTTCGCTTTCTGCGCAGCTGGGGAGTTGATCCAGAGCCCGATACGATCCCGGAGAGGGCTCCCAGTCGGTTCATCTAATCTTTCACGAATCAAGGATTCTGGATTGAGATCGCCCACGAATCGCTCGGTGGCAGGGGCCGAAAACGAAGGTGGAGTATCGGATGTTGTCTGCGCTCGATCTATGTGCGCGGATGTAGGAAGCTGTTCGCGATTGGAGTCATCTCCGTGGATGGGCCTCCCAGGGCCATGGTTCAATTGGGGTGGTGACTGTCGATTCACATCATTGGAGGGCTCCCATTTGGGGATTAAATGTCGGCACCGTTTCTGTTGCAAGATTAGATGGATTGCTTCAATGTTCCCATCGTGTGCGCACCTTTGATCGTTGGCACGTGGGACAAGCTCGCAAGGCTCGAGTGCGACTCCGCGACTGAGGGATATCTGGAAGCCAAGTGAGTTCCATCTAGGAAAACCATTTACATGGGGTGGTTTTATAGGAGAGATTTCTCAGCAGAAGGGGAGATCGAGATAGGCTTATCGATAAGGAGCTTCCAAGATTGGGAACCAATGAGCTTAAGCTTACATCGTGTACACGGGAAGTAGATATCCACCATGGATGCATGGATTTTACTACACAGACACATCAATAGATTCAAAATGACAATTAGTTGGTGTACATGTGCAAATGGGTCCGAAATATCGATCTGACATCCAATGGATGCGCCCACTTCTTTTAACTCCTTAGATATCCCCCGGCTGAAACAACATGGAAAACAAACATAACCAAAGCAGGACTTTTCTAAGGGAATGTGACGGCAGGTGTGCATGCAGCTGAAGAAGCCTAAACTGGATTTGAAGAATTTGCTGCTTCAGCCGCCACTAGGGCTTCAATAGCATCATCATCATCAAATTCATCAACCTTGCTAGGCTGGAATTTGACATCCTCAGTCTTGGCAGATTGAGGCTCAACTGGCACCTTGTTGGCCAAAGCAGTCGAATCTTCCTTGTCAGAGACGCAAGGAGCCAACAGAGACTTTTTGGATGGCACTAAGCTCCAGTCAATGATTTCGTCTTCTCCGTACCGCAAAGCAAGCCAATCATTGCACTTCTTGAAGTGTCCGTTTTTGAACTATATATCAATCCTGTTAGCAAAGAAGGGGGTTCAAAAACAAGTCCCTAGAAGATGGTCTACTCACAAAGCCATTATGCGCACTCAGAGGACTGGGATGCACAGATTGTAGAATGCAATGCTTCTCTTTGTTGATTTTTGCGACTCTAGTTCCGGCAGGCCGGCCCCAAGCAAGGAACACGACGCCGTTGGTTCGGACCCGAGCAACGAGATCGATAACCTTCTGTGTGAATTTCTCCCAGCCCTTGTTGGAATGACTGTTGGCCTGGTGGGCACGAACAGTAAGGCACGTGTTGAGCATCAGGATGCCACGCTCAGCCCAAGGTATGAGCAGCCCTCCCTTATCGGGCGGTGACTCGAAATCAGGATAGTCGATCTTAATACCCTTGTAGATATTAAGCAATGACGGCGGGGCTCGCACGGGGGCCCTGACGGAGAAACATAGCCCATGAGCTTGGTTGTGATTATGATACGGATCTTGGCCAATGATGACCACTTTGACGTTGTGGAGAGGTGTGTGTCGAGACCTACGGTCGGATCAGCACACGGATTTGGCCCAAACAGAGATCCAATTTACCAAGAATAGACATCCTCCTCTGGTGGAAAGACCTTAACATTGGAATCTTTCTCCTTCTTCAGGAATCGCTTCAAGTTTAAGAATTCAGTGCTGACCACTTCATCCTTCAGGTGAGCGAGCCAGCTCTCATCCAAGGTATCAATTTCCAACTGCAATAGTTCCTTTTGTTCTGGGGTCAGGGTAGCTACCCATTTCGCCTTGTTAAAGCTGCTTGGCCGTGGGGTTGGGGTTGAAGTTGAAGTTGCTTGATTGCTTAGGGGTTTCGGCTTTGGAGCTCCAAAGAATGCAGTGATGCTTCCACCTTTGGGTTTTTTCGAGTCAGGGCCGGAAAGATGCTCCGATTTTCGTTTAATGGCAGGGCTAACCATGATGGGCAGAGATGAAGATTGAAGAGATGTCAGAACGTTGGAAGTTGTCGGGAGCTCCGGGACGATAAGAGATCGACGCGATTCACGCGACGCGATGGATCTGCAAGGCTGAGACTTGGGGAAATCGACTCCCGTACGGAGTATAGGGGGTAGAATTTATAGAATGTTATAGAGTAAATAGAGTAGAAGTTACAAAGTTTGTAGAAGTCATAGAATAATTTATTGATTTACCTATTTTACTATTTACAGCTCTACTACATACCAAACACTACAAGTCTAGACTTTTAACGTAACAATATTGGAAGCTACGGGGGAATAAATGGCATCGAATATAATCCGAGTTCAGACAAAGAATACAACATATGAAGTTACACATTCAACAGGCGAGTAAGCGCTTAAAGCTCATCGTGGATATCCTTCTCATCGGATGCGGGAGACTCGGTGGCCTTGGGGACCGCAGTGACCTCGGCATGCTCCTCAGGCTTCTTGGCACCATCGGCCAGGCCGTCCACTTGATACTTGCCGTTCTCCTTGATGAAAGTGACCAGATCCTCAACGGTACGAGAACCGGCGTACTCAATAGGGGAGTCCTTAGCACCAGCGGGGTAGAGCTTGATAGTGGGGAAGCCAGTGATGGAATCGGGCACATCGTTGGCAGTGGCGTCAACCTTGGCGACAGTGACCTTCTCATTAAACTCGGGAACATCGGCGTACAGCGCAGCAAGCTCCTCGTACTTGGGAGCAAGACTGGTGATAATGAGTTAGAGATGCGACAGATAGCAGGTGGGGTGTATGGAAGACTTACGACTTGCAGTGTCCGCACCAGGGAGCGTAAAACTCGACCAGGACATCCTTCTCGTTGTCAATGACAACCTCTTGGTAGTTGCGGCCAACAATCACAGTAACAGAGCCCTCCTGAGTCTCGGGAATGGGCTCGGACTTGAGGCTAGGGTCAACCTTGCCGTCAAGGACGTCCTTGATGAACTTGCCGACATCCTTGGCATCAACCTTCTTGTTCTGGTCGTAAGGGTACTTGGCGTTCTTGTTAGTGTCCTGGATAGCGAAAGCAGGGAACTTCTCGGGCTCCAGGTTGAGGTTGCCAGCGTGAGCGCCGAAGAGCTTAGCGTCGAGGGTAACAATGTTGATAGCTCCACGGTGAGCCTCAGCGATGGGACGGAAATCGGCAGCGAACTGCTCACGCTCCTCGGGAGTCTCGGCGAAGATGTAAGCCAGAGGAATACCGGCCTAAATAGTTATAGAAAGTCAGTTTCTTTCAATCTTTTTTTTCTTGCTCGAATACAGGACAGAAGAAGCTAGACATACCGCCATGTACTTGGAGTAGGTCTCGGGGCCAAGCTCGCCAACAAGAGGAGTGCTCGCGGTCTTAACCCACTCGAGGATGGCTTCATCCTCCAACTTTCCGTCGTATACGGCCTTCTTCTCATCAAAGTCCTTGTAGAGGACAATCGAGGGCTGCTTGGCACCCTCGGCCTTGGCGAGAGCAGCGTCGTTGGAGGCAGCGAAGAGGAAGTTGTCGCGCTGAGATTCAGCGAACGAAGTGAAGCTCTCGTTGGCGGCCTTGTCATCGGAAGCCACGTATCCGATAATCACAATCTTGTCCAAGGCCTTGAATTCCTCCAGGTTCTCCTCGTTCACGTTTGAGACGGCGGGCATGGACTGCTTGGTCATGTATGAAACGATTCTATTGAAAAGGCGTGTTAATTTCCAAAGCACAATAACCAGGAATCGAGAATGACTTACGCGTCGGACTTGCGGGCACCAGCGTAGGGCTTGTGTGAATCGGGGCCGCGGAAGACCTTCAGAGTAGGGTAGCCATCAACTTCGTAGGTTCGGCACAGCTCCTCCTCCACGGTGCAGTCCACCTTGACCACGGGGATATCCTTGGCCTTCAGCTCTGTGGCAGCCTCTTCATACTTGGGGGCAAGGGCCTTGCAATGACCGCACCAAGGCGCATAGAACTCAGCAAGCACCAAAGGGTGCTCCTTGACGAAGTCATCAAAGGTATCAGTTGTCAAGGTGACGACATTGGCATCAGCGTCAACAACTTCAGGCTCAGCAGCGTGAACGGCCGCAGTAGCTCCAAGGAGGCTCAGGACCAGAGGGGCGAAAGACCGCATAATGAAGAGATCTCAATCAAACAAAAGCCCAAAAGCCCAAAATGGTTGGAAAGAAAGTAGAAACAAGCTTAAAAGATCCAAGAGAGGGAAGGTTTTATTTGGGGAATGGGAACTTGAGGACAGTTTGTTCACTAAAGGTGGAGCTTCGTGACTGGGCTATGCAGGGCTGCAAGGGCGGACCCGTGGACCTCTTCCTTCGACCTTTCCTTCTTGTACCTGGTACCTCAACTGTCAGTGTAATTTGTATGTAAATTAGAGGTATATAGTACCTATCCCTACAAGGTACAGGTACAAAATAGTACAAGATAGTCCAATTTAATTCAATTTAGTCCACATAGTCCACATAGTCTATAATAGTAACGGAGACATGCCCTTGATATTTACCGTATATATGGATTGTTGACAAGTGGCCTTTACTTAATGTAGTTACTATAACTATTCCCTAAAATGTCAATCTATGGCAATACCATTATATCCCTTATATTTGCTTCTAGTCCAAGATGGAAAATAGCTTACCAATATAGACGCTCTCTCTCTCTCTCTCTTTCTCTCTCTCTTTCAAAAAAAAAAAAAAAAAAAAANATCACACTCACACATACGGTGTACTCCGTACTTTAATATTCACTCAACACATCTTCGGTGGTCTGACCGTCAGATATGGCCCCATATTCAGATCCTTGCGGTATGCCATCCAATTCGGCCCCCAACGCTAAGGCATCTCGTTTCCCACGGTCAACATCCACCAAAAGCATAAGTGGGAGTGGCACAATAATTAAAACCGCCAAGAACACAAACGCTGGTCGAATCTCACCGTAGCGATCCGTAATGGCGCCAACAATGGCGGGCCCAAAAATACTAGACCCTTTATCGGTAATTGCATAAAGGGCATAGAAAGCCGCTTCGTAACCGGGGGGAATGAGTTGCCCAAAGAAACTGCGACAGTATGATGATAGTCCACCCATGACAAGGCCATAAACGGCCCCCAAAGGATACATTTCCCAAGGCTGATGGAGACCAAGCCCCACGCGTTGCACAGCCGGGATGAACCCAAGAAGACCATACAGCGGAATAAGCTCAAACAGGATAATGCAAGCAATGATTGTCTGTGAGGCTCGTAGATTGAAAAAATTCGATATGTAGCTCCAAGAGAATGCACCGAATACTCCTGCAAGCATGACGATCACATTGATCAGTCCCAGGGCAGCAGGCTTCATGTTTAGTTGGGTTTTTGCAAACAGTACAGCAGTGCCACTGACGGTGGCAATTCCATCACTGAGAAGGAACCAGGCAGCAAGGAAGATCACGATATCTTTTAGTTGCCGCGCCCGTGTCACGGTTTTTCCAAGAGATTTCCAAGCATATGCCATGTATCCAATCCACGAATGGAGCGGTTTGCCGTCACTACCCAGTAAAGGCGGGCCGGGCCGAGTGCGCAGCCACAAGGCTGCAGGGATGGTAAAAATAAACCACCATACTCCAATCAAGAAGAGCACGAGGCGCAATGAGAATGTCGGTGGACGCACGACCACAACAACCAAGATAGAAAACATCTGTAGAATCACTGCACCGATATAGCCTATACCGATCCCATTGGACGAGATTCTGGTGGAGAGTCTAAGCTCCAGGGAAGTGATAGTGGCAGCAGATGTCTTTGTGGCTTCCCTGGTAGGCCTGAGTAGCGGCGTGGAGTCATCCACGTTTGTTCGGTCAATATCTCCGGCCGAAGACGATAAAGAGCTGCCTCTGGGGCTTGTCGCATTATCACCTGACAGCCTCGGCTCTTCACTTTCCTTAAGCGATGGGTGGTGGCGGACCAGAACAGGTAAAAACGAATTTAAAAGGACAAAAGACGCACCAAAGCAAGTATTTGAAATGATAGCAAGGAGTCCACCTAGGAGGTAAACTTTGGGGACCACAACCAAAAACAACATGGTCGCAATCGAGCCAATGAAAGCAAAAACAATCAAGAGTTTCTTGCGATAGGTTCCATGGTCAGCGGCTCCTGACATTGAAATGATCAGGATTGCCTGAACCAAGACGCTCAATGAAAAAGTATACAGGGCAAAGCTTGCCGTGTTGATTTCAGCACCGAGGAAGTAGATGATGCACTGGCCGCCATCTGACACCTGAGGAAGATAGACCGGTGCATCCGAGCCTGGTGGTGGCAGTGAGGGGCTCCAAGTTGCGCTGCATGGTGTAGTTCTGTCGGACAACAGAACGCCCTGATCCCGAGCCATCTGCTCCAGCGTTATCGGAAGAAATGAACCTTTCTCGGATCAGATAAAGTCTAGGATGAAGATCCAAAAGAAAGGATCCATGACGGTAGAATCACACTTACCCATGGCACATACTACAAAAACTTCGGCAGCCCAGCCATAGCAATACCAGCCAGCAAGCTCCCTCTTGCTAGTCGGTCGGGTGTCATCACCAGGATATTGAGGAAGAGACTCGACATTCTCCTGTATACTCATGGCTGGCAAGGGGAAGCCAAATTCATGGCCAGAAATGAATCAAACAAGAAGGCATACGGTAGTCACTTGAGTTAACAATGCCCAGGTGGTAGTGTTGATGGTTTTAAAGAGTGAGGTCATATGACTGACTTTCTAGGGGTGAGGTCTCTTACAAGGTATGGTACCAAAAAAGTCACTGAGAACTTCAGGGTCAGTGTAAAATTGTACTGTAGTGGTTGTAGCAGTACTTTCAATAATACAGAGTTTATTACCATACTGCGCGAAGTGATACAACACGGTACCAACAGTACCAGGAATCAAGGCACCAAGGCATTCAGGCATCAAATGGAAGGCGGTAGGGTAAATGCATGCGCATCGCGCTTTCATCAAATCATCTTGGGCTTGAGATATCATTAACCCAGTCCTCTTCTGGGCACTCATTTCTTCCTAGGTGCTTCTTTTCCAGACTATCTATGAAATCTTTTAATTCGCCTCAGTCACTTTGACGGTTACTCTGCCCTTCGTTTCCTGCCAGCCCACCAGATTGTTTTGCTGCGTTTCTCGCATTGCGACAACCCTGCTATCATCCTTGAAATATCTAGATCCCCGATCACACCTCTCGTCACAGCTAGTTGCTAGACAGGTCGAAGTTGAAACCTGTGCGATCCGGAGCATTTTTCACTGTTTCCAATCCCGATCCGTTGCCATCTCTCTCGCCCGAGCCTCGACCGACCGTTTTGAGGCCCATTTGAACCCAAAGCTGTGCGCCAAGCTCCTCCGATTATGAGCGTGGCCTTCTGTTTGCACGGCCCGTGAAACGCATGGCATCAGATTGAGGACCTACCTGTGGCCTTATCTTTGATTTCGGCTTCCCTTCCTACCCCAGCGCCGACTGGATCGAGCCCGGAACAGTGCCTGTGTCGCGTTGCTTGTTCTGCGCCGTGCAGAGGGCTGAGAAGGGGAAAGCTTCGACGGACACTCACAAGGCAGCTAGGCTGTGCTTCCAGAAATGCCCGGTGTCGTCATGGACAATGTCAACATCGAGGGATCTGTCCGCCGGCCAGGTCTCAATGAGGCCAGAAATGGTGCACCTAATGCCTTTGATAATGCCGATAAGTCTGGTCATCTCTCCGGCATGAATGGATCAGCCTATGTCAATGGCGCATCGAGCGGGATTGCTGCTTCGAATCAACATCCAAGAGCGCTCGTAGATAAGGCAGTAGAAAACGTGCCGACATCACCATTTAAACTGCCACATATAACACAAGGGTTCTTTCCGTTCGGTACATTGGTCAATCGCTCAGTACAGGAATGTTGGAATGAGCTCTCGGAGTTGATTACAGAATTGGCTACAATACAAGTGCCAACCTCGGGTGGTTCGATACCAACCAATGGAAAACCAGCCGGCAACCAGTCATCGGAGAATGTGCATAAGAAATTACGACTCTTGGATTTCGCTCATGCCAAGAGAGCCGAGTTCATCAAACTCCTAGTCCTCTCGCAATGGAGTCGACAAGCTGCAGATGTCAGCAGACTCATTGACATCCAAGGGTTCATTCGCACACGACACCAGTCATACGACGCAGCTCTCCAGTATGTCGGTGAAGTGAAACGAGATCTTGTTCGGGCACAGGTCGCCAACCCGGATTTAAAAACAGCGGTGGAGGTATTATCAAAAGGACGAGTGGCCTCTTTGCCCGATGTGAGTGTCCCTAGTGGATTCATAACCTGTAATAATCTAACATCTTCACTTAGCTCGGTTACAAACCTCCCAGGCCACTGACAGCACGAGCAACACTTAAAAAGCTACTTAAACTCAACCGAATCATCAGCGTGCGGTTGGCATTACACGATTTAGTGCCGCCGCCACTGCGAAATTACCGGGTCCATGATGGCCGGGTGACATTCACAATTTCTGGTGAATTTGAACTTGACCTCTCAGTCGCGGAAGAGTCAAACACATCACAGTTTTTCTTCGTGGACATTCGCTTCCTTTTCTCACCATCATCACCTATCCCAAAAGGTCGAATATTCAATGAACTTGATGGTAAAATTAACGATCTACTCCGTGATGATGGTTTGATGGGATGTTTCCAATTTCTCCATGGTCTCGTTCTTACGAACAAAATCAACATTCTCTTCAAGCAAGCCGTGGAACTTTCTCGGGGCCTCTGGGCAGATGCGTTGCGTATCGAGCTACTACATCGAACGCTTGTCGTTCAGTATTGGCCTCAACGATCGGGGCCGAAGAGCTGGCTCGAAATCGGAGTCAAGAGTGGTCACCGCGATGGCAGTTTTAGTGACCCGAAACCTGGGATATCTCATCTCGGCTTCCGATGGATGCGTGACGGCCAGCAGGTCAGCAGCGATGCCATTAGGTTTAACCCAAGTGATCTATCTATGGAGCTTATTCTAAGGAGCGTCATCGCATTACACACGTCACATCTTCTCTCTACCGCATTTACCACCCTCAAAAAGCATGTTCTTTTCTCGAATCACACACTATCACTACGGGCTCAACTATCACCTACAGAACCTGGAGATTGTCGCCTTGATGTACAACTCACAGCCTCACGTTCTCTTCGGGTTTCTATCGAACCTATGTCAGGGTCCATTACCCTGTGGGGGACACCACATGTGCTGGAACGTCTCGATGGTGACCGAGGGCTCTATAAATCATCGATAGAGGAGATATTATCTCGTGTTGCTCGCCTGCGGTGTATCACTGCGGTCGATGAGATTGACTCTGGCACAAAGGCACTCGGTCTCGAACCTGTGAACCAAAGAGTACTTGGGCTTGATCCCCGCAAGCTTTTCCCTCCCGGTGTAATGCGGACCGCTTTCTTCACCCATCGGCTTTGGAACCGGCACTGGGTCGCTGCAGCAACCAGTAGTATGGATGGTGACCGCTGGTGGCTTGTTCAACTTCGACCAACCGAGGCCGCGAAAATGGGTCCATTTCATAGTATTGGCGATCATAGCATGGGTATTCCGCAAGCCAACGTTGTCAGTGAAACTCTCGTTCCTCCGCAGAGACGACTCAACTACACAACGTGCGCCGAGCTGGTCCATGGGCTCACTGGAATCCTGGCGATCCACGCCAATGCGCGTTATCTAGCAGACTTGCCAGCCATGCATTTCTGGCCATCATTGAAAGAATTGCACCTGGGAACGGATCTCACAGTACCGGATCTCTTATTCAACTATAGTTCGTCCGCACTTCCACCTGCTTTCCAGGTCACCTTGCCCTTCGGGACAAAGAAGCAGTCGCAATTCAAAGAAATGGTTCGACTAGTTTTCCATGGAATTGACAGCCAGAGCCGCTCTGTCATAATGATGGCTCACGGCGCTTTGAAAACCCGCGTCAAATCATTGGTCCCACTCGTCTCAAATATGGATGCTTCGTTGATCATTGAAGACAAGGGTGCTGGCTTCGCGCTTCGTTTACTTGTTCCAGCTGGACATTCGGTTGTCGCTTGTCTGTTTGAACGCTTACAGCGACTCGAGTGTGTTCTCTCTATTCTCCAGTCCCTCATCCGGAAGGGAATGGAGCCCAAATCTTTGTCCTTGTCACGAATTGAATTTGGCTACGGACCCGAGAATAAATTTTCTGCTTTCTTTGATATCAGCGCCGAGGGGCCTTCTTTGTCTGACTACGTTGACGTTGCAGATGCTGTCTCGAAGACTAAGCCTCTTTTCCAACTGAAACTGGGCATCAAATTCGAAAGCTCCAGCCCTCATCGCCGGATTCAGGAGCCCCTCACCGTGGCTTTGAACCAGCGGTTCACTGAAGCTGGTGTTGAGTCAACCCTCCAGCTCTTAGCTACCACGCTGCCTCTGCTGCGGTCATTAGATCAGATTACTCCTCAGTCGAATCAGACGGATCTGTCAATTGTGCAAATCATCGCGCGCAAACCGACTGTATACCTGATCCACTATCCTCGGCTGAAGTCTCGTTTCCACTTGAGTGCAGTGATGCACCAGGACCGCTTGGTCTGGATGTTAAGGGATGCCAACGGAATGGACCAGTCTGGTCGGGTCCAGGTCGCAGCTTTTATACAAGAAAAACTCTATCAGTCGAAAGGCGATGGTTGGAATGGCCTTGGAGATGGAGCGGTAGCGAGTATCAACAAGGTTGGGAATCTCATACTCGAGCTGCACGAGTGCCTTAATGCTCCCCATCTTCAACTCGATGGAGAAGTGGAAGCCAAACCCGAGCAAATCTTGAACCAATTGCACATCAAAGGCTCGACATCTGCCGCTCCACAAGCCATAGGAAATACCGATGTCATCACCATTGATTAAGCATTGTGACCATTCATCCATTCATCAATGGTTCCCATCCCCGTCGTCTCCAGGGCTTCGGTGTAGCTCAATACTTGTTTTTGAGCCTTTTCCATTCTAATGCAAGAGCAACTACAATGTTCTCTTCACGATGTATTCCTAGGTCTCGATATGACATAGCATCTAAATGTATTTCTGTTCATGATGCGTGAAATTTAATTAAATCGTTCCTACTAGGTTAACAGCGCTCTTCCCTGATCTTCCCTCGGTTGCGTAACACATCGTACTCGACCCATCTGACCATGGGAGCACCACCCTCTGGTAGCAAGCGCCCGGGGTTCATGACATGACAGCCCTCATAGGTCATGCAAAACGGTGCGGCCTCGGGGTCTGCAAGTACCAATGCGGTTGGCAGTGGGTACAACTGTAGGGCTGAAGCATGGTCCCATAAGACGGGCCGCAATGGTAGCGGAAATGGGGAGATTGTTCCTTGGTCCAGGATGGTCTTAACGAGTCTGCGGGCCATTGACGCTCCAGACGAGGCGGTTTCAGCCTTGGTGCCCTGTTGCTGGCCCATGTCTTCGATCTGGCTCTCACCCACAGCCAAGACAGTAGCACCAGTAGCACTGTTCGAGGGTTCATGCATTGTAACATCTGATTCGTTGTCAAGGGTGGTGTTGACAGCGCTGCGTCTCAGCCTTCCCGAGATATCATCTCGAAAGATGGCAATGTCATGCACAGGCCCGAACCACGAAAGACGTGCTGGATTTGAAGTCCAAATTGCATCACCGGCGGGTGCAGGGGTTTGTGACCTATTCAACTCTGAGTTTGCTGTTGCAAATGCACGTCTGACTCGAGAGGTGAACAATTCCGGAATGGGTTGTCGTGGTACTGTTGAGGCTGCACCAGCAGAGAATGCCGATGCCCAAGGGTCATTATCGCCTGGCACAAAGACAAAGGTCGAGTGCTGTAGCAACGCTGGGAAATCAGATAAAACCAGCGCTAATGAGTCGAAGTATTCCTTGTATTCGATACTCCCGGCTCGACCACCTCCACTGATGATAGCTTTCTGCGCGAAATTACCGATCAAGATAAAGGCTTGTGGGCGTTCAGGAAGAGATAGATCATTGTAGGTGCTGAAGACTTTCTTCAGGGCGTCAAGTGCCTTCATGTTGTCTAGATTGACCTCACTCATGATGGCGACTTTGAGCCTAATAGTTTCTGGCGCTTCCTGGTCTCCTCGTAGGCATTTTTCCTGGATTCTTCTCATTCGTGCACCCTGGGCACGTTCACTTCCCAATCCGACAAAGTCAACCCACCCAAATCCACCACTAGAGCTCAGCTGTCCGCTGCCGTGGCGGTTGCTTGTTCCTAGCGAGATATCACGTCGCTCGCAGGGAGGTCCGCAGATTGATATACCGACAAACTGACCTCCGATTGCACCCCCAATTCCTGTGTTCCCTCCCAATGCAGCACCTTTTACCATCTCTTCCTCTTCATAGATTCCATCGACAAGCACAATCATGCCTGGCGCAAACCACGCGCCATCTTCAGGTATCATTCGGGCATGGCTCAAGTCCAATGCTACACTTCCAGTCAGGTCCACCAGGGACAAGTCTCCAGTAGGAGAAATTGCAAGCAATCCTAACAGTAGATGCGAGGTTCCACTTCTGCCCAACAAATTTGCAATTGGCGTCAGTTTATAGGATTGTCGGTGGGCTAGGTTGGACGATGAGCGTTGCAGTGAAGGAACACCAGCGACACCCAATGAGCTCTGGAAAGATTCATTGCGGAGTAATCGTTGATATACAAGATTGTATCGATCTCGGAATAGTGCAGTTTTGTAAGATGGTGATGGAAACAAGGATGGCTTTGACTTCATGGCTTCGAAGTATTTCTTGTCGACGTTATACGTCAAGCGCGGAAGATCAAAGGCGTCAATCACCTTGAGCCAATGTCTTGGGTGAAGTGGCAGTTGTGTGTCCTCTTCCTCGGCATTCCCTTGTTTTGAGGTGTCACCCGCTGTTTCAACCCGCCCATCATCTACACCTAGGGTGGATGCCTTCAAGGAACCATCTTGGGAAGTCGTTTTCCCAACAATAACCCTTCCACCACTCATACTGCCCTCGAGGGTTTGCAGTATTGTCTTTAGGGACGCTCCTTTCCCTTCCTCGACAATCACGCCTCCGCCGGCTCTTTTCCATATTTTGGCAACCTCATCTAGGACTCGCTCTGCTAGGCCTTCCTCGCGCCACCCCGAGCCACAGTTCTTGCCCACAAATACTGCTAGTGTTTGAAGCGCGGACGATGATATTGTGAGGTTATGTTTGCGAGTGAAGGTTCGAAAAGCTACTGGGCGTAGGGTTGATGGAGGGAGTAGGATTGGCAAAATTGAAGTTTTGGGGGGAGGCGCATTTCCCTTGGGTATCCGAAATGGACGTGCCGGTGTCCCAAATGCAGGCGAGGACGAAGGAATAGGGTCCTCTGTCGCCATTCTGAAGCGATCAGGATGTCGCGGTGTTGAGGCGTCCATATTGTCAAGATTTCAGGAAACGCGACAAAGACTTATAGATTTGGTATCGGTTCAGAAGCTTAAGGGAGAATCAATTCAGAATAGAAAAGGCTCTGATAAAAATTCCAAGTAGATGCATAATAAGAGGGGAGAAGGGGGGAGAGAGAGAGAGAGAGAGAGAGAGAGAGATCCAGAATTCAATTAAATCAAAGACGCGTGACGCGCGCCGGAGCTAAAGCTTCTTCATCCGATCTCTTTCTTTCTCTCTCTCTCTCTCTCTTTTTCACTTCTCTCGACTCTCCTACTTTTTAGTCTTATTCTTAATTCTCAAAAAGACTATCCTTTTCATTTTTCGATTTGTTTCTTCCTTTTTTTTCACTACTCTTCACTAAAATCGCATTCACCATGGCTGATCCACAAGACGTTCCATCTACCATCTCGGAGCAAGAGAAACGAACCCAACTCGAGGACCTGATCGCACGGGCTGCTGCAAAAGATGCGACCAAAGACCATGACTCTGCTTCCGAACTATACTCCCAAGCTACCGAGCTTCAGGCCGAACTCAACGGCGAATTGTCCCCCGAGAATGCCGATTTACTCTATGCCTACGGAAAGTCATTGTACAACGTCGCTGTGAGTAAAAGCGATGTCCTTGGCTCCAAGGTAGCCGGCGAGCAGCAGCCGCAATCCAGCACTACATCTTCAACAAATACATCTTCCGCTGGATCGAAATCTACCAGTGATTCTCTCATTCAAGGCGCGATCGCCAATTCTATGGCGGATAAGTCGTCTTCCACCAAGCGCGCAGACAGAGAACCAGAGCCCACAGAATCCAAGCCATTCTTCCAGTTTACAGGAGACGAGAACTTTATTGACTCCGAGGACGAGGATGAGGAAACTGCTGAGCAAGCCGAGGATGATGAAGAAGACGACGATTTCGCCAATGCCTTTGAGGTCCTGGATCTTGCCCGTGTGCTGTACCTCAAGAAGCTGAGTGTTGCAGAGGAAAATGACAAGGGCAAAGGAAAATCGGCTGTAGTGTCCTCGGACATAAAGCACATCAAAGAAAGAATCGCAGACACACATGATCTTCAAGCTGAAATTTCACTAGAAGCAGAAAGATTCAGTGAAGCGGTTACTGACTTGAGAACTGTTCTCGAATTGAGAAACTCGCTATATCCTCTAGAAGATCCCTCTGTTGCTGAGTGCCATTACAAGCTCTCCCTCGCCCTAGAATTCGCATCGGCTCAACAAGGCGATGAGGAGGATGGAAACGACAAACCCAAAGTTGATGAAGAGATGAGGAAAGAATCTGCCACCCAGATGGAACATGCCATTGCGAGCTGCAAGGTTCGAATGGCCCAGGAGGAGCAGAAACTTAAGGCCGAGAAAGATGGGGATGAGGATAAGGCAACTGCGACAAAGCGAAAGATCGCCAATGTCAAGGAGATCGTCACTGAGATGGAGCAAAGGGTAAGTGTTTTCTCTTTTATCTGTCCTTTCTATATATTGTTCGAACTCGTTAATAATGAACTAAATCAGCTTGTTGACCTGCGCCGACCACCAGTCTCAATTGAGCAAAACGACCAAGCCAACGAGGCTATGCTAAAGGGAGTTCTGGGTCAGATTATTGGTCAGTCCGCAACGGACCAGAAAGCTCAGCTTGATGCAGCTAGCAAGGGAGCAACAGATCTGTCTGCCTTTGTCAAGCGTAAGCCTACAAAGCAGCCATCCCAACAACCTGAAACTGCCGCAAAAAGACCTGCCGAGGAACCTGCGGGGAATGGCTCCAAGCGGTCTCGCGTTGAAGATGCTTCCGCGTGAACAAGGTGATCTTGTGTCTAACTGAATCAAAATTTTCTTTCTATTTTATAAATGTTAGAACCCATCTAAATTACCAGGGTGTTAATGAATTCAATGAATCAAAATCCCGTGCGAAATGCCGGCATTCCCAAAAAGAAAGAAAGAAAGAAAGAAAATCATAAATCGCAAGGTCGTGTTGGCTGAGATTATAGTGGATTTGCATGCAATAAAAAAAGGCAATACAACAAGGTTGTCAAAAAAGGGTATCATGTCACATTATGCAATGACCTCATTCCACAAGGTCCCTCCCCAGGATTTCCTGCAGCTTATGAGATTCCCCACATCGCAGGACGACGTTTGATCTCACGGTTTCTTCGACGTGCAGCAAGTCCAGGGCTCCAGATTCCGGCAAACAGGTCCTCACACTCATCTTCATCCTGGCTGTCAAACTCTGTATCTGCTGGGCCAGACTCGATTTCATATGGGTGATCGGCTTGCATAGTCCGATCCACACCGGGGGGGGATTCCCAGCATGAAGAGGCGGCGATTTTCTTGGTTTCCAGAATGAACTTGCCAACCTTGTACCGCTGTGATTCTTCTTCGGCTGCAACATACTTCCAGCCCAGGACACTGTCACAGAACGTGCAGCTAACATCACTGACTGTATGTGCCCCTGTAACAAGCTGGCGAGGAACTGGACGCTGCAGTATCGTATTGGGAAGTGAGGCTGTAGGCGAAGACGACGCGCTGACCGACACAGCAGTGGCTACTGGCTCCGCCGACACAAGATAGGCACGGCCATGGCGACCTGTAAACCCTTTGCTAATAATTTGGGAAGTCCAGCAAAGATGTGAGGCACAGCCTGCACAGCGTAGATAGGAAACATGGCCGTCGAGATACTTCTCGGTCTTCGTGTTTTGCGGTCTATGGTCTGTTGGAGAAAGCCCCGCACTGGGTTTGGTGGAAAACACAGAGGGAAGGAGGAATTTGGGGAACTGGAGAGTTTTGACGCGATCCTTAGACATTCTGGGAGATGTTTTAAACAAGAAGCTTTACTCTGAGAGAGGACCTTAAAGGCTTCTCAAGGTTGGAAGGGATGTCCAAGTGAATGAAGGTGAAGGTGATTGTAGCCCTGGAGGTGAGGTCATCTTATGACTTATCTCTTATCTTATCCGTGCGGCGTTTTTTTCCGCCAAAACAAATGCAAAAGCGGGGGAAAGTGACATTCTCTCATTAGAACAGTAATACAATGCAACTATTCATCGATGTAACAAATACGCATGAAAATAAATGAAAACGGTCAAGCAATACTTGATACTCGGAATAAAAGGCAAAGTCGCCTCGCACAACAGCTCATCAAGACATATAAACAGGATCCATGACTCCAATCCAAACGATAGAAAAGGATCACGCAATGATGTTATCAATGATATTATCGCTAGACCTCAGCGACCAAGAAAAGCCATTTATTACTAAGGCACGGCCCTTGGTCACCGCGTGAGATCCAAGGTGCCAAGGTGGTGAGACTGAATCCACACCATCCTAGACTTCGCACGAGCTCCATCTCATCTGTGGGCTGGGATCGATTGACACAAGCAACTATTTGCGAGCACCCAAAGGTGGCAATATCGGCAAGTTCAAATAGAGCGATCAAGCTGAGGGGTGCGAAGGTCAGCAGGTGAATCAAAGACACATGGAGGACTGTCACCAAAGAAAAGGGGAGACCCTTGACTTTTCCAGGGAAACACAAGGGGCGTACATACCCTGACTTGAGGCCGTGTTCAAGTGCACGGTCCTCGAAGAAGACAAACAATGTCCGCTCCTTATTGTGTTCAGCCACAAATCCGCGGTAGATAGCATCACTAGAGTAATCCCACACTTCTATCCATCGCTGGATTCGATCATGCTGGTGCCTGATTTGGTTTGACTGGATGTTTTGGTACACATCCATCCCCAGTGACTCCTGTCGCACGGAATTCCTCTCACCCAGGAATGTCGCAGACAGTTTGTCACAGAAGAGTCTCTCACACTCTTCCGGGATGTTATGCGTTGCCTCCCCCTTGTACTCTGGCCTATTTCCAGGCCAGGTTCGTTCCGCGCGGGAATCGAGGATGTCGTGGGGAGGACTTAAAAGAGACGATTTAGTCCCCGAAGGGACCTCAGGGATACCACTGTACCCCTACATTTTGAAGATTAGATCTCGAGCAACATAGATGCAATTTGAGGTTACGAGATACTTACCGGCGCCCAGGGTAGTGCAGTAGTGGAAGCCGTGGACCTTGGAGGTCGACGGCTCAACACTGTAGCAAGTAGCTAGAACAGTGCTCTGGGAGTCTTGGTCGAGGAAACGCTGCATTTGATTGCAATTACTACTGTGGTTATTCATATATTTCGCCATGATAGTCGATCTTTCAGGTAATTGTTCTGGGAGGGATTTGATGCACGGTGTAGGTCAAGATATCGAATTAGATCGAAATTTGATATTTGAAATAAGTAGAGAAGACACGATGAAGACGGTTGGTGTTTTGATGAGGAAGAATTCGAGGTCTGATTGATGTTGAACGGGGCAGGTAGACGGTGTACACGGGGGGTGCGGATGTGGAAGTAAAGACGGTGTGAATGGGGAGTGTTTTTCCCCAGTCACATGACCATGTCTCTCTCTACGGTTGTATGGAATTATTTTTGGGCGAGGATAGTATATAAATCCTCACTTTTCTTCCTTTACTTGGTTAGTTTTATTGTTATATGTCATCAATTCAATTTTTTTCACGTCTTATATATGATTTCTGGCTGTCGTTCAATTCTATAAAGAGGGGACGATCAAAGCCAAGTTACAAAGTGATCGAAGTATTAATGCCCAACGGTAATACTTGTATTAATTGAACAGCTAATGCCCAGCATTAATGCCTAAACCCTGGAAAGTTCTTAAGAGGTGGGAGATAATCAGGTATTGGATTATTCTTATTGCGGCTATGGTAGTAGTACACATTCTGAAGGTAAAATAGAAACCTCTCCAGGATGACATGAGAGAATGCGAAAGAGACATAAGAAGAAAGGGAGAAGAAAAAAACCGCTCTAAATAATATGCATATACACAGTGTACTGGGAAAGCCATAATGCAAATCCATATAAGCCATAGCCAGCACTTCTTTATTCAGAGCTCCCTGTAATCACTAGGCCGAACTCGTCGGTTTCTAGCCTGATGGCGTTGGGGATTCACGGGTTGACGGAAGTATGGCGAATCTTCTTCCCGGGAGTACGGTGTGCTGAAAGCTGTTCGCTGTTGATTTGAGAAGTTGTTCATCCCAGAGCTTGGTCCCTGAAAACCATTCTGGGGCATGGGGAACATCATTGAAGGGTCTCCATTGAACATGTTAGGGAATCCGTTGGGCATGCCACCATTGCTTGGATCGAACATTCCAGCCTGCAGAGGATTGAAGGGCATGTTCATGGGGTTCCATCCTGGGCCCATGCCACTAGGAAAACCATTGGCAGACGCCATCGCCATGGGATTCATAAACCCCATGGCTTCATTACCGAATCCAGGGGCCGAGAAAGGCATCATAGGCATGCTTTGCATTGGTCCAAAGCCGTTGAAGGGCATATCCTGAGTATTAAAATTTGCTGGGGGAACAGCAGGCGCACCGTCTTGGACGCTATTAGCCTGGGTCGGACCGTCGGAATGACTGTCATCTGCCTTCTGTTTCTTTGGAACATTACCCGGCTCGGAGTTTGCAGCTTCACTCCAGTTGGTAGGCTCGTCCTCGGCAGATCTCTTCTTGGATTGTGCGGGCGCAGTCTCTTGGATTTGATTGGGCGGGCTCTGCTCTTTCTTGGCGGAAGACTCCTTGAGCTCCGTTTCGGAGACTTCGGGGACAGGAGTACCATCCGGGCCTGCAGGGATCTTTTCCTTCTCTTTCTTGGCTTCAGCCTTGTCGGCTTCATATTCCTTAATTTTTGATGCAGATTCATCATCGGGAGTGAGGTTATCAAGTAAAACCCCCTCTGTAGCACATCCCGGGCAAACAAAGTCACTTTCAATCAAGGCATTTGAAATACAATCATTGCAATATGTCCTCTGGCAACATGGAGTCTTTGTTGGTTCTAAAAACATCCTCTTGTCAATGGGGCACTCCAGACCTCGAGCTTGCAATGCTTTGCTCTCCTCGGCAGCTGCTGCTTCGGCTGCTGCTGCCGCCGATGCCTTCGCCTTTTCTTGGTACAGTTCCCACGCTGCCTTGTCTGGCTTTGCAATGACAAAGTCACCATCAGCATTCACCATGACGCCTGTATTCCTCGAATCTTCAGTGGAGCCATCGGGGGCCAGAGATTCTGGTTTGTCAACTTTGGTTTGAAGTGAACGTGGTATGCCAGTTGATCGCTTGACTCGATATTTGCCGTCAAATTTGGGGTCGTTATTCGTAGGGCATGCTTGGATCCAGTGGCCTGTGTTGTACAAAGGTTAGCGGTCTGTGGGTATGGTCATGTAGCCAGAGGTGCATACCTTTTTCCCGGCAACGATAGCAAAGATACCCTGGAGGCGGAGGGTGGTCAGGTACATTGACGGGTTTCCCTCTGCCACGACCAAATGGTACGGGTGTTGCGCTAAATTAAATCAATATCTCCAACATAATCAAAAACCCGGTGAGAGTGTCTCTTACTTTGCCATTTCCTGTTGTTGCTCCTGCCATTGGCTAGCCTGCAGGTTGAACAGAGCGTTGATCTTCTCTTCTTCTGTCTGGGCATTATTGAGTTCAAGAACGTTGTTGTTCACAGATTGTCCCGTTCCGGGTGTTACTCGGCTCATCGAGGGTTCGTTGCGAGGGGCACTGCGAGCATTGACTGGCATCTTGCCCGAGACATAACGAGCAGCACCGCCCTTGCCAGGACGCGCCGCTGGCAATCGGCGGGCGATCACGGAAGTCGACCGAGGGATTATGGTAGTGTCATCGTCGTATTCTGTTGGATGTCAGAAGAGTTCCTGTTAATCAGGAGCAAATGGAGCGTATTGGAACAAGTAACATACCCTCTCTGGTGTCCTCATTGTAGATCGACAGCTCAAAATCACTCCCATCGCCCAATCTACTTTGGCTGATAATCTCTCTTTTGAGCTCAAAGACCGAAATACCAGTGCCATCGAAGGTGACCCTTGAGGGTTCTTTCTGGGACTTGAATTTGAAATGAACGGACGATGACATTGTATTCAATTTGGGAGGGGATGTGATGCAACAAAGATGGCTGTGAGTGTATTAAGACCCAGATTTAGGGGCACCGCCGCCGTGTACAGTGAGCAATAGGTGATAATAGAGAGCAAAGAGAAAGTCGCGAGATGAAGTGAGAATGGTGTATCACCAGTCACAACAACAACAACAAAAAAGGGTCGGGGAACAGATGTTATCTGTTCAAATCACAGAGAAAGCACGAGATATTTTTTTAAAAAAAAGAAAGCAGGGATCAGTAGACCACTGAGACAATGGAATGTGTGAATGAATCTTTTTGAATGCTGAATGGTGAGTGTTCAGGTCACTGCATACAAATGGAGATCAAAGGATTGATGAATACGATGATCAAACGAACACTGGCGCTGAATAAAAAAAAAAGGTGTATTCAAGAGAGATTTGATGGTCTGCCCCGTCCTTCAAGTGATTCGCAGAGCCACCCTAGCACCCTGACCTGTGTGATCGGACCTGTCTAGAGATCCTTGCAGACGCCGAATCCAAGTTATAGAGAGACCTATTAGGAATGAGCAATTTGACTGTCAAATGACCGAGACCGAGGTGTCGCAGTTGTTAGGTGATGTGATTTGTCACGGTAAGACACAGTAACATGAAAGAGTGAAATAGTGGACCGAAGTTTAGCAATTTAGCGTAAGAGAGAAGTTAGGAGAGATAATGGGCGCGCGGGGATGGTGAGGTTGGAACTTGTTCGTAGCACCGCAGGTAGTGACTGAGGAGAGGAGAAGGTGAAGTGGCGAGTGAGGAAAAGTCAGATGATTTGAGCCTACTTTCCACCGCTTTTCAGACCGCTTTTGATCAATGGTTAACATTGCCACGTGACCTTCTAGACCCCACCAATAACTATACATTTATATGAAACGAAGAGGTATCTCAACTGTTTAATCATCATTACCTTGCTGCCTACTATTCCCCGAGCTGCTGAAGGCCTTCAGCTATTCAGGTCATTGAATCCATTATCTATATTGAACTGTTTTCTTTTATGTGCTTCATTTGAACTGTACAGTATCTTGGTTGATGGGCTCGGCCCTCGTGGTCTCTATTCTCTATTCTCGTATAAAAACATAAAAATTGCAAAAGATGCCCATGTGAAAATATCATACCTTTGACGCAGCCGAATCTTTAGATCTCAGCCTCAAATTGGCGGACCAAGAACCCCTCAGTTTGAAGGTGATCTTTCACTTGAGTCACGGTATATTCACCTCGGTGGAACTGGGACATGGTCAGAAACTCTGTTGTGAGAGGAGGAAAAAAAACATATATAATTGGAAGAATACAAACTTACCATTCCTGCTCCCAATGCTGCATCAGTGGTGGTTTTGTTGAAGACCTCTGCAAAGTGGGCAGGTACGCCAGCCCCACTTGAAGCGATGACTGGAATTTTGATCGAAGCTTTGACATCTCTGATCAATTCCAGATCAAATCCACTGTTGCTTCCATCTTTATCAATGCAATTCAGAAGAATTTCACCAGCTCCCATGGCCTCAACGGCCTGCACAAGTTGTCGCACATCGATATCGCGAGTTTCTCTGCCACCTTTGACAGTGCACTGGTACCAGCAGAAAGTTTGCCCATTTGAATTGGGGAATTGGGTCTTGATTGTGTGGTGGTGGGTGTCTTCTGGCTTATCCACATATACCCGCTTGGGGTCGACGCTCACCACAACAGCCTGCTTTCCGTAGGCCTTTGATATCGTCTCAATTGCGGTTTGGCCACTCAACTTCTTACCGGCGTGAATATAGTCCTCAGCGGCAAAGACAGAATCAGAGCCAACGCTGACTTTATCGGCTCCAGATTTGAAATACATCGTTGCCACGTCCAGAGCAGGGACCCGGGTACCATCAGTGTCGACGGTGTCTTTGATTCCTCCACCAATGGTCAAAGGCACAAAGACCGTCTCCGATGTTCGTCGCAGGATTTCAAGCATAGGCGTATCAGCAATGGGGCAGTTTCGGAAGGATGTGATGTTCAAAAAGGTCACTTCATCTGCTCCTTGCTCGTAATATTTCTTAGCCATGTCAACAGGCTTGCCGAGGTTACGAACGCTGCCGCCGGCGTCTGCTCCACTCTTCTCTCGGACATCATATTGGTCACCCTTGGTGACAACCAGGTCACCAGAGTCGTTTGTCCGAACATCAAGGCAAGCAATAACGCGACGAGTGAGCCCATTTTCTTTGCCGGTGATCAGGTCCTGTGGGAGCGACTGGAATTGATCGCCGTTCAAGAATGCACGTATGGCCCTTAGCCCAGCCACGCCACTCTTCTCCGGGTGAAATTGGGCGCCAAAAATGTTACCCCGACTGATAGCACCGATGAATTCTTCTTCGCCATATTTGGCTGTAGCCACAGACCAGCCGTCACTTTCCAATACACCCGGGTTGTAGGGGGCCGCATAGGAGTGGACGTAATAATACTTGCTGGTCGGCCTCAGACCATAAAAGCTTTCATGTTTTGTCCCATCGGATCCAGTGTTGATTGCAGAATTCCATCCAATGTGCGGTACACTCTTCGATGTGTCGTCGAATTTTTGAATGCGCATAGGAATCACGCCAAGCCCTGGAACGTCGTTGTCCTCCTCTGAGCCCTGGAAAAGGGCTTGCAGACCAACACAGATCCCCATAAAAGGCTTCCCCGCTTCGATGTGCTGTCGGATGGGCTCCAAAAATCCTCCTTTGTCCAGTTGAGAGAGACAATGGCCAAAATGGCCAACGCCAGGGAGTATCAGTTTCTAGAATCGCTGTTGTTAGCAACGGCACGATCGTGAGCCAACCACGGTGAAGTTGGTTCGGGGCATTTGGCTAACATCAGCATTCTTCACATCCTCTGGGGATTTAACCCATTCCACATCATATCCGACTTGGTTAATCGCATTAACCAAGGAACGGATGTTTCCCGCAACGTAGTCTAGCAAGTGGACGGTAGGCATGGTTGTAGGGGTTTAGGCCAAAATCACAACGGTGATCACAGCTGGAAGCGGGCAAGGTGTTGGACTGTCGAGGTTGAGCTACCAACACAATAAAGAATCTAGCTATAAAGACCATCGGGGGTTTCCCTTGAGGACCCCGCCAAAATTCGCACGCTGAGTCATACTTTCTTTTTTTCTGCCAGACAAAATGCGGAGGAAAAAAAGGTACATTGCGGTACCTGATTAACACGTATAGTTACTACGGAATCTAAGTCCTTTTTGTACTTCGTAAGTACCTGTGAGTCACACATCGAATGTGCATACTACTCCGTACATAACCCTCGAATTGTTTTCTTTATAATAGCCTTAGGATATTTAGCTTCCATCAAGAAACTCTTTGATTGCAATGTTATCTGGATGAGTTACTTTATACAATAACTTTGACATAGCCCCATGGTGCAGATCTTTACTAATGCAGGTGCATATTTCTCTTCACTATCATATTGTAGGTTATTGGTCCTCGCTTGTGGGTCTCTCGGGTGCCTGGAGGTAGATGAGGCCATTTGTAGGCTGTAGGTTTATGGTCAGTTATGTATGAAAAGGGTCAGAGTGTAAGAGGAAGATTAGCTACCGGGTGGAATTGCCGTAGCCGGACGCCTGCTTCTTGTAAGATAGCTGCACTCTGTATATATTCGAATTAAATTAATTAGGTTAATTAAACCCCTTGAAACGGACAAGCATTGACTTACGTCGTTATCCATGTTGTACCCTTGAGAATAAACGACCTCCGAAATTCCAACTTGGGCTATTTTGACAGTGCATGTCAGGCAAGGGCATCTGCAATCCATAGTGAGATTTTTTTGGTCTTTGACATGGTTCAGTGAAGAATGAAGTAGACTTACGTATCACAATAGAGGATCGCCCCCTCTCGAATCCTCTCGCGGCCTGCTTCCAGTAATGCATTTTCTTCGGCATGAAGGCAAAGACAGGTTGACAGACCGACTCCTCCTCCATCTCCGCGATTGCACCGTGGACCTATAATAATTTATGGTGAGCCAAATGAACAATAGGGCCAATGGGGTTATTCAGTTCTGGCCTGCATCGTACATCCACCTTGGTTGCAGTTCTGGAGATGCCGTGGTGTGCCATTATATCCTGTGCTGATGACACGACTCTCTCGAACGAGCACACATCCCACTCTTCTTTTCATGCAGTTGCTTCTTTGAGCGGCAAGAGATGCCAACTGCATGAAGTACTGGTCCCAGTTTGGCCTCAACCGTTGTTCGTCTGCCAGGTCGAGGGTCTGCAAAGCCGAGTGTAGCTCTTCGAGGGACGACGAGGAGTTGAATAGGCGCAATTGAGCTTTGTCGGTCAAGTATACACGTCCAATATCCTTATCGTAAAGATTATGGTCGTTCCACATTACGAACTTTTCAAGCTCAGGCGGATCCAGTTGTCTTCTCCAACACCTTTTTTTTATAAAAGTAAAACAGTCAGCTCTCGGGCTTCCGTCGCATGCATCATCACGAACCTGTCGGCAAATCGTTTCCATCGGAGGCTAACTGGTGCATCGACACTCACGAGGAGGAAGAAGGGGCGCAATAGGAATCGATCTAGGGTAGTTGCATCTGAAATGTCTGTGGTAACCCAGCGTTCTTGCCATCTTTTTGTCGCAAAGTCGAGTAAAGAGTCGGCATCTTGAAATGTAAGTTCTGACGACTTAGGGTCCTCTTTCTTTCTGATTTCCGACGCTTGGAGTCGCAGATCATCTCCCGACTCGGTGATATGGGATTGGGGTTTGCTAGCGAGTTCAAGAAGTTGAAACCCTTGCTGGATCAGATACTCGGCAATCGCATGTTTGCCAGCGCAAATGCCTTTTTGACGTATATCTTCGTTAGTTCATCCGGTGTGAGAGTGAAGGATTGATTTGCGACAATTATCTGCTAACCTCCACATAAGCCGATGAGCATTTTCAGGTGTTGAATACTTGTAGAGTGGAAAAGAGGAAAGGAAAAGAAGCAGTGGGGCAGAGAGCAAAGTGAAAGTCGCGACGCGATCTTATCGGCCTGATCTTATCGGCCTAATAGGGAATGTTGGAATTTCAAGGTTGGGCTGAAGAAATAGTATGTATTGTGTATTATGTCCTATGTATCCATCATATTCTGTACCTTAGTTAATGTATAGAGTATATTTACATACCCTATATGAATATATATCCATGGATATGTTTGTGTAGATCCCGTGTTTAGCACAAGTCAGCTGTTACTCTCACGAGATATGGGTGATTATAGCCTGGTGATCCAAGACTTACCAATGTACGAGGATAATACGTATAATATAGATATATATATAATCCATATACATATATCTATATGTATGTTTCTAAAATCCAGAAAAAGGAAAGTAAAGAAGGCAACCTTGGAACCTTCCGAGAATGGATATTATCGATAAGCCCCTCTCTCGTGACATCAGACCCCTTTCACCTCCTTTTACACCTTTCTCTCTTCCTCTTTCCAACCTTCCAAGTCTGTATCACTCACTGTTTCTTCTTCTCTTTATCTTCTCCCCCGTTCCTTCAAGATGCAGTATACACCATTTGCCTCCGACATCGAATTACCTTTCTATACTTCACTAGCTTCCCATAAGATCAACCATGACAAGCTAGATGACTCCGCCCGGCCCGTTCTAGGATTATATGAGATCCGTCCTTCTGATCCAGAGGCTGCGTCATGTCGAATCCAAATTCATGGAAACGCGCTCGCCGGCAGCGAGTAAGATATGAACCGAACTGTTTCTAGAAGCCCTGCTAACCAACCCAGGGCCCCAGCTGGCTATTACAGAGCAGAGGGTATGATTAAGAATGTCAATACCATTGAGGAATACCGAAATATGGACAGATCCCAGCTACTCCATCAAGCTGGACAAATGGTAAGAATAACCATAACCAGTTGCCTCGGAGAAAGAGAGATACATATAAATATATATACTAATGAATATACTAAGATATGGGATGCCATCCACGACGGAACAATACTTTCATGCCCCTCCTTACTTTGCAATTTTGTGATTGTATCTTTTGCAGACCTCAAAAAATACAAGTTTCACTACTGGTTTGCTTTCCCAGCAATTCATTCAGATCCTCAATGGGTCCCCGTGCGATCAACAGATCAACTATCCCAGCCACACCAGGATCTTGATATTGACAATTTGAAGGGAACACACTTATCATCACATGAGAGCACTGCCTTAGTGGAAGCGGTACAAACATGGTCATATATTGTGGATCATCGACAACGAGGGTTTTTTTTGGCTCGAAAAGCCAAACAGCATTCCGATAACGCATCATCAAGCGATTCCGAGATAGAGAATGCCGAACCAGACGATTCATCAAATAGCAACTGGCAGATAGCATCACTTTCCGAATATGAAAATGGGTTTTTCAAGAATGTCGCTGCTGAAGACCGCTATTTCTGTTTCTCGGACCCATCCAATTATGAACAGGCTCCAGGGTGGATGTTACGAAACCTGCTCGTTTTGATCAAGCAGCGATGGGGCATCGAACGAGTACAATTGATACGCTATCGCGACGTGCACGCGAAGCGTGATCAGGGGCGCAGTACAGTAATTCAGCTGGAGTCAGGTTCAAAACAAGAGGCGCAGACCCCGAAATCACTGCAAAGTCAAGGGTCGTTGCCGCTGCCAAAGGTGACTGGCTGGGAACGTAACTCAACTGGGAAATTGGCCGGAAGAATTGTCAATCTTACAGAGTACATGGATCCCAAAAGGTATGGCGTTTATTTGGAGGTATCCAACCCGAAGATCTGATCAAGGAAGCTAATTTTTTTCCCTAAAGATTAGCAGATCAGTCGGTCGATCTTAACCTCAAACTTATCAAATGGCGGATCAGCCCCACGCTCGATCTTGAGAAAATTAAGCACACGACATGTCTCTTGCTAGGAGCTGGTACATTAGGTAGCTACGTCTCCCGGAATCTGCTGGTATGTAGATGTCGACTTCCGTGCTCCAAAAGAATTTTTCTAATTATCATCTATACAGGGCTGGGGCGTGAAGAAGATCACCTTCGTTGACAACGGAACCGTTTCTTTTTCTAACCCTGTTCGGCAGCCACTTTTCAATTTTGAAGATTGCTTGAACGGCGGTGTCCGAAAAGCACATCGGGCATCCGAAGCCCTAACCCAAATTTACCCGGGAGTAGAGACGACAGGTCATGCGCTCTCGGTGCCCATGGCAGGTCATCCTATTGTGGACGAAGGGGTGACAAGGGCCGATTTTGATCGCCTCAAAACACTGATCGACGAGCATGATGCTATCTTCCTCCTTATGGATACCCGAGAATCACGATGGCTGCCCACGGTGATGGGGAAGGCGGCAGGGAAAATCGTGATGAATGCAGCCCTAGGGTTTGATTCCTTCGTGGTAATGCGGCATGGTATCACGGAGGATGAAAATCCAGCCGAGCTTGGGTGCTATTTTTGCAACGATGTGGTAGCACCAGCTAACGTAAGATTATCAAAAGGAGAGACCTGCTTTGTACAATACTGACTTCGAGATAGTCTATCAAAGATCAAACTCTCGACCAGCAGTGTACAGTGACCCGCCCTGGAGTGGCTCCTATAGCCTCTGCACTTTTGGTGGAGCTTTTCGTGTCACTCCTCCAGCACCCCCAAGGTGCTGCCGCACCGGCCCCCATAGCCCGCAATACCGAGCGTGATAGTCATCCCTTGGGCATTGTGCCCCATCAAATACGAGGATTCCTCTCCAATTTCGAGAACTTGTCTGTCACTGGCAAAAGTTATCCGAGCTGCAGTGCATGCTCAGATAAAGTTGTCAGTGCATACCGCGACCAGGGTTGGGACTTTGTGCGAAGAGCCTTGAATGAACATGGCTATGTCGAAGAATTAAGTGGACTAAAAGAGGTCAGTAAGTGCATATAAAACAACTCAATCCCAAACTGACATATAGGAAGGTTCACGAGAAGGCGGAAGCAGCACTAGCCGATATTGACTGGGACGAGGCATCTGATAATGAGGACATTGAGATCCTTTAGACAAATAGCATGGTTCGGCTCTTCGGCTACCGTGTGATCTGCCGACATGTAAGCCCGAAATAGCTTTGGTTTCACGATTTTCGTTCCAAGCCAACGAAAAAGGCCTCCTTTGATTCCTGCCAATTGCTTTAGTCGACGAGTATGTATAAATTGGACAAGGCAGATCGTACACTGCGAGATGACTCGGGTTTCAGACGGTGAACCTTTTTGAATAATTCCTTCAGCTGCTGCTCCAGCTCTTTGTCTTCGGCGCCTTGGTAGAATTTGCAGACGAAATGACCACCTGCCTTCAAAACATCCGAACTGAAGCGCAAAGCCGCATGGCAAAGATCCTGCGTAAAGTCAGAAGGTTTTCACACTTATTAATTTAGTAACAAGAATTCATACCATGCTTCCAGCATGATCTCTGAAACTGACGCCGCTGGTGTTCATCATCCTATTATAAGGAGCACTTAGACTTCGTTTCCAGAAACCGGAGGTCTGGTGCCAGGGAGCAGACATATCGCTGAGAACCACATCTACCGTTCTTTCAAGTATCTTATCGCCCCTCATATTCGTCTTCTCGGCCTTGGGAGTGCGTTCGATATCCGGATTCGGTTCTAATAGACTGACACTAGAATCGTTCAGAAAGCCGGGTTGGCGCGGCCTGCCTCTGTCTGGACTGCGGAGAAAGTCACGGATGTATGTTTGAATTTCGGGTGCGAGGAAATTGCCTTGGATTGTAGACACTCCTTTCGGTGGTTGGGCTGGAATGATATCGACACCGAGGACTCGGCCATGCGGTTGGGTACGGCTTGCAGCAACCTTCTCTGGCAGTTAATTACGGCCCGTTTGACAGTAAAGGGGGAGGGGATAAGTCAAAGGTAAATGAGAAATGGTCGACATACCTGAGACCACGACCCCGGAGCATAGCCCTAATTGCAGCAAATTAAGCAATGATCCGAGTTCAGGTGGAACGACTAGCATACCAAGTCAACCACTGTCTGCCCAGCCTTGAAGATTCGATATTTCTCATCGATCTAGCCATAGGTACCAACCAGTATGTCAGATCGATCCAGGGAAATGGAGTAATATCGGTGCTGGATTACCTGCAACAATTTGAAGGCAGCACGGCTTTTCAGCCCTTGGACAGCTGCCTCTCTGGTGAACTGATCCTTTTGTTGCCGAGCTTGCCAGCGCTTAGATGATGCATGCCTTGCTTGACCAATTGCCTGCTGATGACAGGCATTCCGCCAAAATCGAATTGAATGCAAAGTAAACATAACGCGAATTGATTGATATCAGGGGAAATAATTGGACTCCTGGGAGCATGGAGAAGCTTTTTATTTTCTGCCGGCAAAACTGATAGGACCGCCGAATCCTCAAGGCGGACGGCTCGTATCGCATCCATAGTTAACTAACTACATGGTTATATTGTACATATTAAAACCGCTTAAAGTCTGTGTGCCGATCAAAATAATATGCCGGATCTTCTGATTTGTGTCCATTAAAATCGTCTGCGGTCTTTTTTCAAGGGAGAGAATCCCATGGGTGCTGCCCCAAGCCCTAGCACCCGTGGTAGGCCGGTACTAGATTGTGGTTTACTCCCCAACGCTGAAGCCCGACCATTTCCTATTGCAAGTTTTCGCCCAAATTTCTTGGTCGGGTGAGCCTCTTCTTCATCCTCCTCCTCAAACAAACTCCGATCCCGCTGGCCTCCAAGTTTGCGTTTTTTCGGCTTGGCATGTTCATGCTCAAACTGCTCATGTAATTCATCGGTCTCAGTGGGTGGCACCCTGCGATCTAAGCGATACGTTGGTTTCTTGACCTCGTTTTCTGGTGCTGACATAGGCATTGCCCCATCACGTGCCCTTGATTTAGTGGATTTTGTGATTGGAAGGCGGTCTTCTGTTGGAGATAGTTGGCGCCGGAGAGCAGAACCGATACGCCTTGGTTCCCCAAAAGTGCTCGGCTTGCTAAGTAGTCCATGAGGAGTGTCGGTATCTCCAAGAATATCGTCTTCGTCTCCGACTGAGCTCATTGGCGAATCCGAAGGTGCCCCTGTGCGGTTCAAGAATGGAGTGATGGAGAACGCCGACTTATCTCCAGGCACAGCTGAATCCCTCTTTAATTTCTCTTGGACACGAACAGCCCCGGGAGTCGCAATCGTCACGCCAGCATGGCCACTCGGGCCAGGTCGCTGAAGCGGGACTGTTCGAGAACTGGATTCAGATTCATTTACTGCGTGTGATTTGAGGCTTCGTCGCTGCTGTATTTCAACCTGGGCTTCCTGGAGCTTGTCCTTGGTTGACCGCAATTGTTGTTTGAGTGAATCAATCTTTCCTTCAAACGTCGCCCGCTGATTAGCCCATGCTGAGTTCTGATTGTGGTTGTCCCGTTCCTGCTGCTGTTTGGCTCGCAATTTTCCCGCTAGTTCATTCCGCAACTCTTCAACTCGAGCAGAAAGCTGGGTAATCTCTGTCATTTGCTGTGATCCCTTGGCCTGAGTACGTTCATGGGCATGTTTTTCATTGTCAAGTTGAAGCTCTAGAGAGCTTATTTGCCGTTCCATCTCATGTTTCTCGGAAATGATGGCTTGATATGATGCGTTTTGCGCTCTGAGCTGCTCAAGCTCTGACTGTAGCGTTGAAAAATTTCTAGAGAGATGAAGTTTCTCTGCAAGAACAGTATTGTAACTGGTCAAATTATTTTTCTGGGCCGAGAGTTCTTCCTGTTGCTGTCAACATAACGGATTATACATCCAGTCCCTGGTTGAGTTGAGACTTACTTTGAGTCGGTTAATCTCGCTCGAGGATGCCTGTGCTTGAAGCTCCAAATGATCAATTTCCTGGCAAGCCTCCTGCAGTTGAGCACATGCCTCTGAATCAGCACTCGTGAATCCCAAAAGATGCCCATTTGCTTCCTCTAGCTGCGATCGGAGAGCTTCATTCTCGAATTTCGAGAGCAAGAGCTCCATGCGTCGTACGCGATCCCTCTCGCCATCCAGAAGGCGAGCGGAATCCGAAAGAGTCTTCTCATACTCCTTCTCTAGATGCATAGTCCTCATGGACATTTCAAACTGCATGACTAAATTAGCATTTTGAGCATATCTCCATCAATCCAGGGAAGCCACATACATCTAAGGCGCATGCTTCTTGGGCCATTGCCATGACGACAGTGTCCGGAAAAAGACAGGAGCCCTTCGAAATAAGAAAATAGAACGGAAAAGCCTATAAATTGAAGAATTTCTGCACAGAGCAAAAGAAATACGTATGTAAAGATATGTGGTGTTATATCCAATGCTTTCAAAATATGATATCCAAATCATCAAAAAGGAAGACGCGCCGGTGTTTTGGCGTCGGGGCCCGGGATATATTAAGTAAGCCGATATGCCCGATTACGTTGATAGTGGACACCTGGACTTTATCACTCAACGTGTTCTAACATCTTCAATTGCAACCGATTGATAGTTTTTCAATCAATTGCACTTTATAACTAACCTATTTCAAGCTGTCCAGCTCCTTGTCATGCCAAAATGAAGCTCTGGACAGCCATTTTCCTCCTTTTCTCGGTCGTGTCCGGTGTTCTGTCTGCGAGTTCAACACCGGACAAGTTTGCAAGATATCAATCCTTGTCTCGTTCGGGGCCTGTTGATCTAGACAGTGCAACATATGAAGACCTCACCTCTACGCCTCGAGATTACTATGCTGTGGTTATCCTGACTGCCACGGATCCTCGCTTTGGCTGCCTCCTATGCCGCGACTTCGAATCAGAATGGAACCTGATCGCCCGAAGCTGGACTAAGGGCACCAAGCCTGATGACCTCAAGGTAGTCTTTGGAACACTGGACTTTGATAATGGCAAGGCTGTTTTCCAAAAGGTAGGGCATCTTTACTCCAGACCGAGCTGTATGACATTCGACTAATCCGAGCAGCTCATGCTTCAAACTGCACCCGTACTCCTTGTCTTCCCTCCTACCATCGGTCCCTTTGCCAAGGTTGAAGGGAATCCCCTCCGGTTTGATTTCACTGGGTATGTTTCTCTACCAAAGCTTTTGCGCCCAGCCCCTATCTCACTAACACATCAATCCCAAACAGCCCGATCTCAGCCGACCAGGTCTACTCTTGGATTGGACGTCAGTTGCCTGAAGGCCCTAAGCCTCAACTAGTTCGACCCATCAACTACATGCGGATTGTATCTGCGATCACAATCCTGATGGCAGTTGTGACTGCGATTGCGGTCCTTTCTCCCTACCTGCTGCCAATTATCCAGAACCGAAACCTTTGGGCTGCAATCAGCCTTATCGCTATTCTTCTGTTCACAAGTGGTCAAATGTTCAACCACATCCGCAAGGTTCCATATGTTGCTGGTGATGGCAAAGGTGGTATTAGCTATTTTGCCGGTGGATTCCAGAACCAGTTCGGGATGGAGACTCAAATTGTGGCTGCCATCTGTAAGTGATGATTATGAGCCTCATTCATACTGAGCATCGTTTCTATGTCAAAGTTCTTAGGTTAACATTTTGCTCGCACAGACGCTGTTCTCTCCTTCGCTACGATTGCACTCGCACTGAAGGTTCCCCGGATGGAAGATGTCAAGGGTCAACAGCTGGCTGTCTTGATCTGGGCAACTGTTCTTTTTGCAACATACAGCTTCCTTCTCAGTGTCTTCAAAACCAAGAATGGTGGATATCCATTCTATCTGCCTCCGTTCTAGAGCATTCAAGAATCTACTTGACCAACAGCTCTCAAGATGGCAACGCCTGGAAACATATTGATCTATAGACGATCATTGATATCCCAGTGGCTAGATCTCTTCGGGGCTTCCTTTATATGACAAACAGAAGTTGAGATGGATCAGGACCACTTGGCGGAAGTACGGTGCTTTGCGGATTTTGACCCATAGTGCCTCTTTTCCTTTACCATGAAAATTTTGCATACTAAAGACATCACAAAGGGTTCTCTTAGAAGAAATTTCACACTTAGCATTTAGGCATATTTAACCATACCTGGCCCTAAGAGGTAACCTGAGGTTGAGACCTCAGGGATTTCAGGGGACTTTGGGGGCTACACGTAAGCAAGTATCCCCGGGGCCCCAGGAAGGACCAAGTGGAATTTCCAAGTAGATTTATATAGATTTACATAGATTGTAGATATATAATATGCCTTCTTATAGGTATTTCATCAGCTGAAGATAGTGTTTCTTTTCCTTTCTTTTCCTTTCTTCATTTCACCTGCCAAATATCTTCCATCCCTTAAAAGCCTAAACAAAAAAAAAGGTCAGGCCCGTAGGCCCTATAGTAGGCCCCACCTGGGTGTTCGCATCCTTTTCCTTAACAGCCCCTTCCCATATGACCATATGAACCCCTACACTCCCCCAGGTCGGTTTTGAAGTCTTGCTGACTTCCTTAATTTGAGCACACTCAATTGCACTGTCATAGCTGGGTTCAATCACGGACATGGCAAAACCTGACGATGTCCGTATGGGCAATATTCTGGCGTCATCAGCCACGGGCACAAGCTTTTTGATTTTGATTCAGTTAGCATCCAGGGTCTTTACGTTTGCCTCGAACCAATTGATTCTGCGCACCCTTTCACCGGTCGTGCTGGGAATAGCAGCACAACTGGAGCTCTTTCAGGTTTCGATCCTGTATTTCTCAAGGGAAAGTATTCGGATGGCCATTCAAAGGCAGCCTATTCTATCTTCGCCTGACAACCCAAAAAGTTCCCTTGAAGCAGATTCTGCAGCGACGGATTCGCAATCTGTAGCATCTCAAGCAGTAGTGAACGTGTCTTACCTGAGCCTTGCCATTGGGATTCCTGCCAGTCTTCTGTTCACTATGCTTTACCAGTGTTTTGTCCCAGAGGAAGCATCAGAGACCGCCTTCTTCTACCACAGTGTCATCTTGATCGGGGCTGCATCTCTCATGGAACTCAGCATCGAGCCCTTTTTCTCGATAGTGCAACAACAGATGCTTTACGAGAAACGCGCTGCTGTTGAAATGCCCGCGGCATTTTTGAGAAGTGCGGTGACATCCTCTGCCTTTATATATGCTTCTCAAGTCAACTATGACCTCGGTGTGCTACCATTTGCTCTTGGTCACCTCAGTTACTCGCTGGCACTCATCGGTGGCTACTCGCTGGCCCTACTCAGGAGAACCAACACAACCCGGTTCTCTTTCTTATTGACACGTATACAATCCAGGTAAGATTGACCTTATCTCATCCAAGCCATAGCACGAAGAACGACACGGTAACCATTTACAGGGACCCCTCAAACTACTTTCTGGGACGGTTCTCACGCCAATTAACGTCGCTTGCTGCGAATGTCTTTTTCCAATCTTTGGTGAAGCATCTTCTCACGCAGGGCGACACTATGATGCTCGCAGCCCTTTCAGGGTTAGAAGATCAGGGCATATATTCTCTTGCGTCAAACTATGGCGGGCTCATTGCGCGGATCATCTTCCAGCCGCTGGAGGAGAGCAGCCGGAACTTATTCTCAGCCCTATTGAGCCGCGATGAGGATGGGAAACCAAAGAATATCCATATCCGCACTGCCAAAGATCACCTTGTAGATATTCTACGCTCGTACCAGTTGATGTCAATCTTGATATTTCCGTTGGGCCCAATGATGGTTCCTCAGTTGCTACATATCCTGGGAGGCCGTCAATGGGCTTCCCCCAAAATTGGGGACCTGCTCTCCGTCTATTGCTACTATATCCCATTTTTGGCATTCAATGGGATCACCGAAGCGTTCGTGTCATCTGCAGCAAATTCGCAACAGATACGGAAGCAGACGGCATGGATGGGTGCCTTTTCCACCTGTTATGCCTTGGCCGCCTATATGTTCCTAGAAGTAGGGAACTTGGGTGCGTATGGATTGGTGCTGGCCAACATTGTGAATATGGTGGTTCGAACCATTTGGAGTTACAGTTTTATCAAATCGTACCTCCATCGAAATGGATGTAGCCTGCACACGAGTGAAGTGGCAATTCGACCTGCCAGCTTCATTCTGTGTGCTCTGGCGAGTTTGTTCTTGGGCGGATTTGGCCTGGAATTGGGATTTATCAAAGCATGCGCCTTAAGTGGCAGCTATGCTCTCCTCATGTGAGTACTGCGCTGATCTGGTGTTGATTTGTTCCTAACGCCTAATAAAAACATAATAGAGTCTATATAGAAAGGGAATATTTGATGGGTCAATTGACAAGGCTTCGTCACATGTTATCCTCCAGATCCTCCAGCAAAGGTACCAAGTCGCAATGAACCCAATTAATCGTCAAATGTGATTTTTGTGGCTGTCTTGTCCATATCAACGTCCTTGTAAAAGGCACCGTAAACATCATGCTGCTTCTTCTTGACTGTTGTGCCAAATTTCAACAGCGCCTCTGGCACATCTTGCTTAGCTGCCTTGAGAACATTGATCAATCTATTCACAATTAGCATTGTCCTGAAGATCTTTGGTCAAGGATATTAGAATTATGAGTAACATACCCGCCGGATAGTCCCTTGTCAGTTTCAGTAAACATGGTGATGGCAAGACCCTCAGCCCCAGCACGTCCAGTTCTTCCAATCCGGTGCACGTAGTCCTCAACGGTAAGAGGGAAAGTAACATTAATCACCAGTTTCACGTTCGGGATATCAAGGCCACGCGCCGCCACATCGGTTGCAACAAGAACGGTAGCATTGCCGTTCTTGAAAGCATCAAGATTTCGGAATCTATCTGATTGGTTCAAATCACCGTGAATACCGGCGACAGCGAATCCCTTGTTTCTGATGAGATTCTCAATGCGCATAGCCTCCTTCTTGTAGAGGCAGAAGACCAGGACTTTCTCGGGCGATTGATGACCACGCTGGGATTTGGTGAGCAGTTGCACGAGTCGGCCCTCCTTGTCCCGACCATCAACAACCTCGATGACTTGCTTGATCCTTGTGTTGGCTCGGGGATCCGCAGATGGGTCTCCGCCAATGGTAACAGTTACCGGTGTCTTCATAAAGGTTGCTGCGAGATCTCGAACTGACCGGGGCCATGTTGCCGTAAACATGACAGTCTGTCTCCTGGAGACGGGCATTGGCTTGACAATGTCCTTGATATCCTGCTCAAATCCTTTGTCAAGCATGCGATCTGCCTCATCCAAGACGAGATAGGTGACCTTTCCAAGGTCAATCGAACCGTCATTTTGGAGATCCTTGAGACGGCCAGGGGTGGCAACCACAATGGCGGCCTTTTGAAGAGCCCGACGCTGTTCATCTTTGCCCACACCACCGTAAATGCATGTCACTTGAGTCTTCTCAGTGCCGCCGAATTTAACAAGCTGGTCATAAATCTGCATTGCAAGCTCTCGCGTTGGTGAAATAATCACTGCCTTGGGTTGACAAGGCTTGCTTGACTTGCCGTCAATCAATTTCTTCAGACACGGCAACCCAAAACCCAGGGTCTTTCCACTTCCAGTCTCCGCGATACCAATCACATCACGGCCAGCAAAAAGAAGCGGCCAGGTAGTGGACTGAATCGGCGTTGGCGCAGGGAAAGACTTCAATTGAGCGTATAGACCAGCATCACATTCAGGTAGGTGATCAAACGAAAGGATTGGGCGGAATTGGGAGGCGTCAGGTGAGGAAGGATCAGAGATTTTAATCACGTTCTCAGTCAAGAAACTATCAATGTCTGATTGAGGGATCTTGGATAGAGCAGACGCATCAGAGTAAGATGTAGTCTTCTCATCTCCATTTTCCTGCTTATCTTTAGAAGCTTTTGCGGGCTTCTCGGACTTGGACTTTTTCTTCGGTCGCTGCTCCGTTGGCTCGAGATGGCTTCGCTTACCCATGACGAGTATTCTAGAAAGAGGATGTAAAAAAGATTATTGGAATCAAAGATAAAGAGAAACACGAGAGTGAATTCTCTGCCTGGATTGTTCCAGCAGAAAAACAGAAAGAAAAAAAAGAACGAAAAAGAAAAAGCGATAGTGTATTGCCATTAATTTCCGCCTTCGTTGGCTTACCGCCTTGTAACTATATTCTCACTACTCCGTACTCCGTACCTACCGAGTACATAATTAACTAGTTATGGAGAACAGCATGTGCATGTAGTATTCTCATTCTAGAACCCCTGTAGTGATGCTCGGCCTAGGTGTGGAGTGATAACCCAGATTGCAGATTGCAAATTTCTCATAAATAAGAGGATGATGAGGAAAAATTACTAGTTAAGTTTTTTTTTTAAGTATTGGATAGGCGAGAAAAAAATGTCAAGGTAAGAAGCCATAAGTGGATGATTATGGCGCAGCTCGAGCAACATAAAAGTATACATGAAAACATTGGTGAAAAGCCCTGAGTGTATGTAGAAGTAGTAAAGCTAGCACAAAGCTGGACAAAAATATTTCCTCGTTTTGCCTGTACTTACTCAATACTGTAGGAGTCAATGATATCGGCAAGGCGAGAGGCTTCATCCGAGTAATTGATTGCCTGGGAGGATGAGACCTGATATCTCACACTAGATGGAATAATTAGCATGATGTTCACATCCTTGGAATTATTGCTATTCCATGATTCTTACCGCTGCTGGTCGCCGAAATTGTCTATCTTGGCTCGGCACCTGAAGCTCCAAGTTTGGCAATTGGCTCCCTGGAAGACTTCACCAAAAGCACTTGGATCGTCTTCGCGAAGTTGCATTAGTTCATCGGCAGACATGCCCATGATGTTTCTTCCAGTGTCGTCAAAACAGCTGAGCCAAAGCTGGCCAGTATGGTCGCTGACACTAATAGGCATGATGAAGCGGTACTCTGGCTTGGGGTGGGTCTTGTCACACATTTCGCACCGCCACTGTCCTGGATCAAGTTCTGTTACCTTCTTGTTGCAGTTCTCAGAAAGGCAGGCAGGGTAGCACCAGGTGGAATCCTGCTTGATATAGATCACAGTGGCTTTCAGGGAGAAATAATCCGGAGTTTCAGACATGCCAAGCTGCTCCTCGCGAATTTGCGCGACAGTTTTGAACCGATCCGTTTTGCCCGTGGAGTTGGTCGCATTTGACAATGAAGCATGGGATGTGAAGTTCTCCGACCTTCCTTGAGCGTCATACCAACCTCTGAGTCGGTGGGCCTCCCCAATGTCAGGGTCGACAGTCATTGAGCCCGAACTCAGAAGACTCAGACTTCTTCCGCCAAAGTCAGAAACCTTGACTCCCTTGAAAGCAATAACAGACTCGGGTGCCACACTAAAATTGTTTGCAGATGCACCCCAGATTGTCAAGCGGACAGAAAATCCTGTGTTATCGACCAGCGTAAGCTCACGTTTGTCATAGGGTTTGCCGGTGCTTTTTGATGTAATCTGGGATGTCTCCCCAACATCCTTCAGGACGGCAATGACATCAGTGGTCGTGTCTTTTTCAACAGTCTGCAAATCAGCAACGGTGGTGAAGTTGAATCGAATCTGAGGGACATCATTTTGCTCCTCGGCCTATCATAAAATGTGAGCGACGCATTTGGTATATAAAGAAAGAAATATCACCTTCTCAACGATGGTATCTCTCTCAAATGTGAGTTCATAATCGTTGTTAAGATTTGTGAACTGTTTCTTGGCAATTTGGACCCGACATGGACTCGAAATGTAATAAACACTGCCCTCCTGGAAGAGTTCATAGAGCATGTCACACTGATCATTGAAACCAGTTGCACGAATTTCACCACTGTCGTCCAGCAAATTCACACTGAACAATTTACCCTCACCATTCTTGTTATGCCATGTTTTGATGCTGGACTTGCTCGTGCATCGCGCTTTTATCGTCCATTTGTTGGAATACGGGGAGATGGCCTCAATCGGAAAGATTGTGGCATGGGCGGAGGAAGTAGACATAGGGACAGGCATTGGCTGAACTCGGCTATTTGGCTGAGCCTGCGCGCCCTCCATCTTGGAGCCGTAAAACCCATTGCTGGATATTGTTGTCGGTTGACTCACTTCTTCTTCCTCGGCTTTGACTTCAAGTGGTTTAGGTTCACCGATTTTTTCGGCCTCGCCCAGTTCCTTTAAAACTTCAAGGTCCAAGATGATGAGAATTCTATAATAGTTAGCACAATCAAAATTGATAGAATTCCCTCACATACTTCTTTCCCTTGACAGAGTTTGATTGAAATGACTTGAGTCGCACGAAAGAACCCTTCCGGAGAGATCCATCGGTCACCACCGAGTTAGCTTCTTAAAGCAGCCAGTAAGCTTAATGAGTTATAAAGAGTACCGAAAGGACACCACATACGAGTAGCAAGCATGGTTTGAACATAGTTTGCAATATCACTGAAAACAGCTCGGTAACGTTCTGGTTGGTTCGGCTGAGCTGGCAATGCCTTGATCTGAACGCATTGAACAATCGGCTCTCGTACTTGGGGTTTGGTTTCATCAAAGATGGCACTGTTAACACGCGGTTAACATCTATAATGCCATACAGGACATTTGTATCAAGTAAATACAAACCTTAGAGCCCCAATAGTGACTTGGGATGCTGCCTCAGAAGCCATGATATGATGAGTTCAAATTTCAGTTATTGACAGTTTAGAAAGAAGTATTGGAAAAAGACTGAAGAGGATGGTATGAAGGGATGGATCGAGGAAACAAGAAGAGGAAGTAGAAGTAGAAGCAGAGAAGCAAAGAAGACTGAAATTGACAAAGCAAGTCCAGATCAAGTTGCAGAGTAGTAGGACAAAGGTTGGGACGCGTGTTGAGAAAAATAACGCGTTAAGTGGCACAACCGCCCCCCCCACATGACTTTGTGCCTCAGGACAACATTGATAACAGCACGTGCAGGCGGTGAGGAGCAACCCCACGCATCGTAGCTTTGGCTTGATCTGCGGTATCTGATATTCTCTCTTTTGTCCATCTTTGATTTCAATGGGATACTGTCACGTCTTCTGAAGTCTCTGTCAGAAGCCAAGAAGTCTTTGTTGGCACTTCGTTGAATCCCCGAGATATCCTCTCTGGATATGGCCTCTTGTGTCCATACTGGTGCTACGGGTTTGTGACATCACCTTGATTATCAGAGGGTAAATTGAGCTAATGGAGAACACTCCTTTATAGATCTGAATCCACCAGTATCCTCCCAGGCTGTCTATCGAGAAGATTGCACTCAGTGCTTTGATTCTATTGTATGCCAGCCACCTTGGTCCCTATACTACTCTACTGACTCTGACCTTGCAAGGACGATGTTGCTGGTCTAAATGTCTGTCTCCATTGCTTCAATGGTGGATGTGCTGGAAATAGAGATCACGCCCTACTTCATTACAAGAGATTTGGCCATTCATTGGCTTTGAACATCCGAAGGACCCCCAAACAAGTGCAGGTACAGCCTCCAAACACTTACTGAACTTGTGACCAATGATTCTCACCTCTAAATTATAGCGCGACGAGCCTCCGCCGAAGATTTCAAAGCTATCCATCGCAGCCGAAACAGAAGAGGATAGATATGACATTGCTACGTCAGTGGTGTGCTATTCGTGCTCTCATGACAATGTGGACAAAGCCAGTGGCAAGCTTCCTGCTGTCATTGAAGGTGTTATGACTGCAATGACTTTCTCAACAAGAGAAGAGGTCAAAGCCTGGGAGCAAGAGTTTGTCCCTTGCGAGCATACCCTCTGTCTGGTTCAACAGGACAAAACGCAAGCCGTGCTAACGGGTACTGATTCCCTGCAACACTCAACTGGGGCCGGTGCTAATGAAATTGCAAATTCAAATCATTGCTCAGAGTGTGATTTGGGCGAGAACCTGTGGCTGTGTTTAGAATGTGGGAACAAGGGTTGTGGGCGAAGTCAATTCGGTGGAACCAAGGGAAACTCACATGGGCTCACTCATGCAGACTCAACATCACATGCTGTGGCTGTTAAGCTCGGCTCCATTACAGCAGAAGGTTCCGCTGACGTCTACTGCTATAAGTGCAACGAAGAGAGAGTAGACCCAGAACTGGCGACCCACCTTGCACACTGGGGAATCTACTTAGCTGGACGTGAGAAGACAGAGAAGAGTCTGATGGAGATGCAGGTTGAGCACAATCTAAAATGGGAATTTTCCATGACAACCGAAGATGGCCGGGAGCTGGCTCCAGTCTTTGGGCCTGCATTTACAGGCCTAGCGAATCTTGGAAACAGCTGCTATCTCTCCAGTATCATGCAATGCATATTTTCTGTGGCTGGATTTCGTGAGCGATACTATCAGCTGTCAGAGGAACCACCACTCTGCCAAGCACCAGCACAGGACCTTGAAACACAATTACGAAAGCTTGCCGACGGTTTACTCTCAGGCCGGTACTCTCAACCTGACTCTCGCGTTATGTTGTCCGCAGACATCCCAGAAGTCGCCCATCAGAAAGGTTTAGCACCAGCAATGTTCAAGTATCTTATTGGGCAAGGTCATGAGGAGTTCGCAACCATGCGACAGCAAGATGCATTTGAGTTCCTTCTTCATCTATTCAAGTCTGTCAGTCTATCGAAACACACCAGTCCGCAGATTAACCCGGTACAGGACTTTCGCTTCCAGGTTGAGCAGCGTCTTCAGTGTTTGCATTGCAAAAAGGTCCGCTATAAAGTGGATGAGCAAGATAACATTTCGGTTGCTGTTCCCGCACGTCCTGCTACCACTTCCGACGAAACAGGAAGGCAATACGAACCCGTGAATCTATCAGAGTGTCTAGACATCTTTACTTCGGCAGAGGTCGTCGAGCTTACATGCCCTGCTTGTGGTAGCCAGGATGGCTTTTCGAAACAGTCGTCTTTCAAAACATTGCCTCGGGAATTGGTGGTCAATGCTCGTCGGTTTGAGCTCGTCAACTGGGTTCCTACAAAGTTGGATATCCCTGTGCTGGTCGACGATAAGCCACTGGATTTCAGCTCCTACCTTGCTGGTGAGCATGATACAGATGAGGAGCAACTTCCAGATATTGAAGAATCCACCGCATTTGTCCCGAATCCGGAAGCGCTCGAACAACTAATGGGCATGGGGTTCCCTGCTGTGAGGTGTGAGAAAGCTCTGCATGCCACTGGTAACCTGGATCCGGAAACTGCCATGAATTGGCTGTTTGCCCACATGGAAGATCCAGGCATCGATGAACCACTGGCCCTTGATCAAGTCGGCACCTCTGGTTCTACTGAGCAAGACGCGACAAAAATTGCCCAACTAGGAGATATGGGTATTGAGGCATCTCGTGCCCAGCGAGCATTGGCGGCGACCGACGGGGACGTTAACAGGGCACTTGATTGGGTTTTCACTCACCCGGATGATGTAGTGGAAAAGGAAGAGCCAAGTGTCGGCGACCACAACGCACAGTCTCATAGTGGCTCAGTTGGGCTCACCGGCTTACCTGCTCGCTATGAATTAAGGTCAATTGTATGCCACAAAGGCACATCTGTTCACGCAGGGTGAGTGGCTTGATATGTCTCCGTGCTCATTTCCTTGGGTTAGACTAACACATGATAGGCATTATGTTGCCGTGATTCGCAAAACATTGTCGGGTCAAAGTGGCCTGTCATGGGTGATGTTCAATGATGAAAAGGTTGTCAAGTTCGAAGATGTTGAAGCGATGAAGAAAACCGCATATCTTTATTTCTTCACACGGGTCTAGTGGTGTTCTAGAGTCCCTGGGTGTACAACCCGGGTGCATTTATGTTGTTCAATTGGGATATTAGCAGGTGATGGGGTGGATAAATTAGATATCTTTGCTTTGTTCAATCTCTATCCTAAATAGGTACTTTTGGGACGGCCTTATGCTATGGTTTTCTCAGTCCCAATATTGTATCAATTAATGTAGAATCCATGTGGGTGAGAGTGCCTTGCTCACACTCAGAGTCGGGCAGCTTCGTTCGTACTGTTGCAACAAGCTCATGACGGCTTGCCGGTTGCTCAGGCTTTCGTAAGTCAAAAGGAAATTGACAAGATGACTAGTGCTAAGGTCGATGGCTTGCTATGGTGGTTCGCTTGGGAGGAGGCTGACTTGGAGCATTAGTATCTCATCGCGATACAGTAAAAGCGAGCGTTTCGAAGAGTTTGTTGGAGGTTCACCGACTTAAGGATATTACCTGTGCAATAGTGTAAATTAATGTCCATTAGAACGTATGCTCGGTATCTCACAAGTCTCCACATATTTGAGACCTTCTATTTCGCAAGTTACGCGTGCTTTATCGGCTAACGTCTTTGGATGCTTAACTGACCCCTACCAGTCTCGAAATTTCGGAATCGTTTCAAGGTAGGTCTTGGTGCCTAGCTCGGTTGTTGCCACAAAAGAGCAGCACAGGGCAAAGATTGAGGAGGTGAGACTCGAGATTTTCAATCAGTTTTCCCGTGCTGGAACATGTAGAGCTCTTCTTGTCATTAAGGAGCTTGAAGAATCCGTCCGTGGGGCAATGCATTAACCTCAAATTGATGGCTTTCCTTGGCCCGAGTCCGTTTGCGAATTGGGTCACAATTCAAGAGTATCGGGCACGACTTGTCACGGCTGGCTATGCACGAGAGAGAGAGAGAGAGAGAGCATTGAGATCCGCGACTTTTAGAAAACGTGTTCAGGCAGTTGGCCAGATTCTTGAGGGAAACGAAATTTGAAGTGGAACAGCATGGCTTGTCAATTAGTCACTTTCAGTACGCGGCGAGAATGTTCAATTGGTGGTGCAGAACAGGTGTGGTCAGAAGCTACATCGCCGTGGCAAGGAAGAAGAGCCAAGTTTCAAGAAGAGCATTCCTCTCACTCTTTCTTTGGACAATCTAGCAAGAATCAATGAAAGACCAACCATACGCACAAACTGATCCAGCAATCCACTTTGTCGTGCACAGCTAATCTTAACTGAATGGCCCCACCAGAGAAAGTGTCAAACTATAGCAAATTGTACAAATTCATCAGTAGATGAGTCCATCATCCTCATGAACCTCATCGCGGCGCGCTAGCTATCTTAAAACAAGCAAAAGCAGCGACAGCCAGTGCCACCGCGCTCAAAAATGCATCTGCACCAGTCCCGATACGACTCGAGAGTAAGTCGTCGTTTACCGTATCGCGCGGTATTATATTGAACGTTGTTGCAGTTGCCGACCATCCTACAATCGCCGGAACAACCAATGTATCGGCCATTCCAAAGAAATACTCGAATGGAAGTTTTGAAGTCGACGACAGGGCGAAAGTTAAAGTGAGAGAGTACAACTCTAGAAGGCGATGCCGGCGTCCAGACCCAAAGCACGGCAATGTCAAGAGAACGAATCGATAGCATGCGTGTGCAAATATCCACGATTTGCTGACGGCAGTGAACACGAACAAGTTATCGTGAACTATGACTGTCTTCCATCCAACGCGGTGTCCTTTTTGGACGATCCAAACGAAGAGGGCAACGCAAGCGATTTTGCTGCACATTCCCCGAAGGGTGCCGCCTGCGGGAGTCCCGACCATCATGCCAATGTTTGCGTACACCGCAAAATTAACATAGGTCGTAAAGGCGGGCAGAAATCTTGTCTGCAAAGACCGATCCGCAACGAGGAACGTTAGGACAGAGCCGAGGCCGAGGGGAAGCACACACATAGTTTTGGTCATTTCGCCAAGAGTAGCCGTTGTGTTAAATGCGAAGATAGTCGCGCTGACCCCAAGGACAATGAGCAAAAGCAGGCCCGGGTTTCGAAGAGCACACCCATAGGTGAGAATGAGGATGATGGTGAGCCATACGTTGAATGGGATATCAACGTACGGTTCAAACGCCGTAAGTAGTAGTGAGAAAGCCATGAGATGAGCCGCGTAGTGCTATCCGGAGCTTTGACTTGAGCCTCCCCAGCTGTCGTGCGGCCCACGCCTAATTGGGCTCTCGGTAGCTTGAAATAGCCGGTTGGATTTTCCAAAACGTGGGGACAATTTAACCCAAGAAGAGTTTACTGAGATGCATAGTTGAAAAAATTGTGCTGTAAATCAAGAAGTGGTCTAGTGTTGAACAGCCAGCAATATCGAAGCCCTGGAGCTGGAAGCTGATGACTAACGGCGCTAGGTGGGTGCAAAATAGCGGTGTCCTGGTCGCCATTCCAGGTGACCAGGTAGGCGGTAAGGACCGGTATTATCGGTCCTATAAATACCTTCCGAGTCTCCTTTCCATTCTTGTGGTTTTTACCTAGTGAATTAAGCCATTATTTATAAAAACCTGATTCCTAATAATTGTTCCCGTTTAGTACTTTATAACCTTAGTCGACCGCTTATTCTATTCGGATTCTTTAGAAAGGTCTTTACTTTTTTATAGTTAAATATATTAAGATATACTTCTAATTTAAGAGGGATTCTTAATTAATCTAGGTATAAATATTCTCTATCTTTATCTAGAAGCTATATTTCTTTAGATATTTTAATAAGAGTATCGATAACTATTATATTCTATATTACCTTAATAAACTAATAAGATCTTAAGAGTTTAAAACTATTAATACTAAACTACTATTTATCTATACTTAGGTATAAGATAATATTAAATTTATTAATAAAGGTTTAAGATAAGAGTATTAAGCTTCCTTTTAGATATAGATCCCTATTAATTCTAATATAAGGTTATTTTACTATCTTTTTAGTATCTCTAAAAACCTTAATAGTAAAAGAGACCTAGTATACTCTATAAGTTCTAAGTCGCTCTAGGGATACTCCTTTTAAAAAAGGGGAAGAAAATAGTATAGTAGAGAGTTTATTATTAATTATGAACTTTTTACTAACTATATACCTTTCCCTTTTTAGTTTCTACAACCCTTTAATCCTTTATATCCTCCTTGAAAAGGAAAGCTTATTATTATAGAGGTATTAGTTTACTACTAATTTAATATTAGGTTATAATAGTTTCCTTTTTTTCTCTTTTTTAGATTCTAGACTAAGTAATCCTTTCTCTTTTAAAGTATAAAATATATATAGAAAAGGGTTACTATAAGTTTTAATATCTTATCTTATATAATTAGTAGAATTTTATTATTAGTAGTAATTATAATATCCCTAAGTAGTTTTTAAAGCTTTATAAATAAGGTTTAAGCCCTTTACTCTTTAGTTTATTCTAATAGGTAATTCTCTAATAATTTAAAGTAGGTTTTAAATATATATAGATCTTAGAATACTTATATTTCTACTTAGACCTGGCAGTGACCCTCCATTTGGACCCGCCAAGACGCTAAGGAGGGTCCAAAGTCCGGATTCTGGACCCGCCAAGGAAATTATGCATGCATAACCTATCCTAATTAGGAAATAATATGCTTATAAACCATGATTTATATATATTTATGTCAAAATTTAGGTCTTGGCGGGTCGCTGGACCCTCGGAGGGTCCAAGGTCATGGACCACCCGGAGGGTCACTGCCAGGTCTATTTCTACTTATTAGAAAAGAATAAGGATATTAGTAATGATATTATAAGAATTTTATAGTAAGGTTTTTATCTATTCTTTAAATAGATTCTAATTATTAGTATTTTTAAAGTATTTTTATTTGTAAGATATCTACTTTCTTTTATAAGTAGTATAGAGATAGTTAGTAGTAGTAAGGATTTTTTATATCTTAGAGATATATTTCTTTAGTACTCCTTTAAATAGGGCTTTTACGTTATTTAACTAATCCTCTCTTTATTTAATCCTAAAGTCTTCTTTAAATCTCTTTATATATCTTTTAATTTTTTCTTTTTAAGTTAGCTTACTTTCTAATAATAAATTATAGGTATTTTAAGACTAATATATAGTATTATCTCTATTATAGCCTTTAAGTTTTTCTTAATTTAACTTAATAAGTTCTTAAGCTATAATAATCTATTATTGAAGAGTTACTTTAGCCTTTAGAGCTTAAAGTATTTCTTCTATATATTAGGTATTTTCTATAATTATCTTTAGATTTAATCTAGTCTCTTATAGGTCTTTAATATTTTCTTAGATTTAATTCTTAGATCAGTTTAGTTCTTAAACTTATAAAGTTAGTTCTATTTTAGTACTAATAAGGGAAAGATTCTTCATATTTTTAGTAGTACTATAAGAGTGCTAGTAAGTAGAGGGAGCTATTATATCTTAAGTAGTTAAAAAAGAAGAATTAGAATTATAATAATATATTATTTTAGGTATATAGCCTATTAACTAAGTAAGATAAAATAGTAAAGAAGGATTAAGATATATTATCTCTAGTTAGCTAAGACTAATTCTTACTAGAATTAATAGAGATCTAGGAGATTCTAGACTATAAGGAACTGTCCTTAGATACTAACTAAATTAAATTAATACTAGATATATCCTTAACTTTTAAATAAATAGTAGCTATATATATCTTTATTTAATACCTCTTTAGTATAGATCCGATATTATTATATAATCCCTGATTCTAAGTTATAAGGATCTTTATCTATTATACTTTCTATATAAAATAGAGTATTTAAAGAAGTAATTAATCCTAAATTAGATATATTACTTTAAATAATAAGGTTATTTCTTAAAAGTTTCTTTACCTTATTAGTAGAGAGTGTAGTATTTTGATATAGAAACTATAATAGGGGAAAATAATAGTATATTATTTAAATATTTATACTATAATTTATATAGAAACTAGGTCGAACTAGGGCTATACTAGGTTTTCTGGGGCTTTAGTCACTAGGTTTGG